TATGGTGCTGACCACACACATGGTGCTGACCACACACATGGTGCTGACCACACACATGGTGCTGACCACACACATGGTGCTGACCACACACATGGTGCTGACCACACACATGGTGCTGACCACACACATGGTGCTGACCACACACATGGTGCTGACCACACACATGGTGCTGACCACACACATGGTGCTGACCACACACATGGTGCTGACCACACACATGGTGCTGACCACACACATGGTGCTGACCACACACATGGTGCTGACCACACACATGGTGCTGACCACACACATGGTGCTGACCACACACATGGTGCTGACCACACACATGGTGCTGACCACACACATGGTGCTGACCACACACATGGTGCTGACCACACACATTCTCCACATGGTGCTGACCACACACATGGTGCTGACCACACACATGGTGCTGACCACACACATGGTGCTGACCACACATATGGTGCTGACCACACACATGGTGCTGACCACACACATGGTGCTGACCACACACATTCTGCACATGGTGCTGACCACACACATTCTGCACATGGTGCTGACCACACACATGGTGCTGACCACACACATGGTGCTGACCACACACATTCTCCACAATATGCTGACCACACACATGGTGCTGACCACACACATGGTGCTGACCACACACATGGTGCTGACCACACACATGGTGCTGACCACACACATGGTGCTGACCACACACATGGTGCTGACCACACACATGGTGCTGACCACACACATTCTGCACATGGTGCTGACCACACACATGGTGCTGACCACACACAAGGTGCTGACCACACACATGGTGCTGACCACACACATGGTGCTGACCACACACATGGTGCTGACCACACACATGGTGCTGACCACACATATGGTGCTGACCACACACATGGTGCTGACCACACACATTCTGCACATGGTGCTGACCACACACATGGTGCTGACCACACACATGGTGCTGACCTCACACATGGTGCTGACCACACACATTCTGCACATGGTGCTGACCACACACATGGTGCTGACCACACACATGGTGCTGACCACACACATGGTGCTGACCACACATATGGTGCTGACCACACACATGGTGCTGACCACACACATGGTGCTGACCACACACATTCTGCACATGGTGCTGACCACACACATTCTGCACATGGTGCTGACCACACACATGGTGCTGACCACACACATGGTGCTGACCACACACATTCTCCACAATATGCTGACCACACACATGGTGCTGACCACACACATGGTGCTGACCACACACATGGTGCTGACCACACACATGGTGCTGACCACACACATGGTGCTGACCACACACATGGTGCTGACCACATACATGGTGCTGACCACACACATTCTGCACATGGTGCTGACCACACACATGGTGCTGACCACACACATGGTGCTGACCACACACAAGGTGCTGAGCACACACATTCTCCACAATATGCTGACCACACACATGATGCTGACCACACACATGGTGCTGACCACACACAAGGTGCTGAGCACACACATTCTCCACAATATGCTGACCACACACATGGTGCTGACCACACACATGGTGCTGACCACACACATGGTGCTGACCACACACATGATGCTGACCACACACATGGTGCTGACCACACACATGGTGCTGACCACACACATGGTGCTGACCACACACAAGGTGCTGAGCACACACATTCTCCACAATATGCTGACCACACACACGATGCTGACCACACACATGGTGCTGACCACACACATGATGCTGACCACACACATGGTGCTGACCACACACATGGTGCTGACCACACACATTCTGCACATGGTGCTGACCACACACATGGTGCTGGCCACACACATGGTGCTGACCACACACATGGTGCTGACCACACACATGGTGCTGACCACACACATGGTGCTGACCACACACATGGTGCTGACCACACACAAGGTGCTGAGCACACACATGGTGCTGACCACACACATTCTGCACATGGTGCTGACCACACACATAGTGCTGACCACACACATGGTGCTGACCACACACATGGTGCTGACCACACACAAGGTGCTGAGCACACACATGGTGCTGACCACACACATGGTGCTGACCACACACATGGTGCTGACCACACACATGGTGCTGACCACACACATGGTGCTGACCACACACATGGTGCTGACCACACACATGGTGCTGACCACACACATGGTGCTGATCACACACATGGTGCTGACCACACACATGGTGCTGACCACACACATTCTGCACATGGTGCTGACCACACACATGGTGCTGACCACACACATGGTGCTGACCACACACATGGTGCTGACCACACACATGGTGCTGACCACACACATGGTGCTGACCACACACATGGTGCTGACCACACACATGGTGCTGACCACACACATGGTGCTGACCACACACATGGTGCTGACCACACACATGGTGCTGACCACACACATGGTGCTGACCACACACATGGTGCTGACCACACACAAGGTGCTGAGCACACACATGGTGCTGAGCACACACATGGTGCTGACCACACACATTCTCCACAATATGCTGACCACACACATGGTGCTGACCACACACATGATGCTGACCACACACATGGTGCTGACCACACACATGGTGCTGACCACACACATGGTGCTGACTACACACATGGTGCTGACCACACACATGGTGCTGACCACACACATGGTGCTGACCACACACATTCTGCACATGGTGCTGACCACACACATTCTGCACATGGTGCTGACCACACACAAGGTGCTGACCACACATGGTGCTGACCACACATGGTGCTGACCACACACATGGTGCTGACCACACACATGGTGCTGACCACACACATTCTGCACATGGTGCTGACCACACACATGGTGCTGACCACACACATGGTGCTGACCACACACATGGTGCTGACCACACACATGGTGCTGACCACACACATGGTGCTGACCACACACATTCTGCACATGGTGCTGACCACACACATGGTGCTGACCACACACATGGTGCTGACCACACATATGGTGCTGACCACACACATGGTGCTGACCACACACATGGTGCTGACCACACACATGGTGCTGACCACACACATGGTGCTGACCACACACATGGTGCTGACCACACACATGGTGCTGACCACACACATGGTGCTGACCACACACATGGTGCTGACCACACACATGGTGCTGACCACACACATGGTGCTGACCACACACATGGTGCTGACCACACACATGGTGCTGACCACACACATGGTGCTGACCAGACACATGGTGCTGACCACACACATGGTGCTGACCACACACATGGTGCTGACCACACACATGGTGCTGACCACACACATGGTGCTGACCACACACATGGTGCTGACCACACACATGGTGCTGACCACACACATGGTGCTGACCACACACATGGTGCTGACCACACACATGGTGCTGACCACACACATGGTGCTGACCACACACATGGTGCTGACCACACACATGGTGCTGACCACACACATTCTGCACATTGTGCTGACCACACACATGGTGCTGACCACACACATTCTACACATGGTGCTGACCACACACATGGTGCTGACCACACACATTCTGCACATTGTGCTGACCACACACATGGTGCTGACCACACACATGGTGCTGACCACACACATGGTGCTGACCACACACATTCTGCACATGGTGCTGACCACACACATGGTGCTGACCACACACATTCTGCACATGGTGCTGACCACACACATTCTGCACATAGTGCTGACCACAGAAATCATTCCCATAGTACCTTGAATGCCGAAAAGTAAAGTCTGACCAGACTTTGAATGCCATCAAGTAAATTCTGACCAGACTTAAAACGAGATCAAATACCTGCATACAAGAAAAAAGATGAGCGTTCGCCAGAGATAAACAAAGTTTATGTTTATATAAATATATTTTCCGCGATTAGACATTTGCAAGGGTAGATGATTAAAAAAATATTCCAGGGGAATTAATTCTCGGAACGTAAACCGATTTGTTATGGTTGCAAAAAAAAAAAGTGAATCTATTCTTGAAGCTCTAACGTTGATATGAAAAATTTTCTTTAAATCATTTTTTTTAAATAAATTTTATTTTGATTACATCTTTCTATAAACACCTGAGACATGAAACTTTAGCTTTTCTCAAAGGGGAAATGTTCTTACAAAAGATTTGGCGTAAATATTGGATTTTATCAGCCACAGTGTGGTAAAAAAAAAGTTTAGGTAAAACACAATCACCAGAGAACTATTATTTTATTTCCTTCTGTCAAAAGTAAAAACAACATTTTTTCAAACGTGTTATTATTTTCAGAGTTTTCTTTGCTGTACAACATTTCATTTAGTCTACAATATTTACTTTTTTCAAACCAACACATTTGTACGATATCTACTGGCTAAGATGTATCAGGTAGGGCGGAGCTAAGGTAAAGCCTTCATCGGTCTTTAATTTAGAATGATTGGAAAAATATTCAAGTATAATATTATAAAATAGTTCAAGAGTTAAACACATCCCCTTCCCATTGTGCCTACTGGCATTAATTTATGCATACAGTTCACCTATTAATTAATGTGGAAAAATCATTGTTTTTAACGTAAGTGATTATATTTTGGTGTCACTCCTTCTAATGTTGTTCATTGAAAATTCTTCTATATATTTTGATTTTTTTCGTCATGGCGTCACCCTCACCCAGTGCGGTACGCACCCCCCCCCCCCCTCGCGACGCCTCTGACGGACATAACATATTGACTGTTGGAGGGATTTCCCTTTAATGTTACAAGCAAGCACGAAGAAAAAGGATTTACAGCTAGATCTAGTTATGTGTGCCTATTTCTGTGTACAAATGTGAACGACTGCCCTACCACTACACCACTAGTCATAGCCTATTAGTTAGGGAACTGCTGGCTTAGTAAATACGATAAAATGGCATATCCAACACATTTTGATCTGGCCGTCTGTTTTTTGTTTTTAAAAATGGCAACTACTGTTGTAGCAGACAATGAGATCTACGCAACATTGTCAGTGATTGTACACGGGGATTTAGCTGAATCTGCGCTGGTGAGACGATTCAAACAAAAGCAAATCAAGATCAGAAGTAAGAAAGTTTACTTTTTTTGTCGGTAACCCGCGAATAAAGTATTTTTCAACTTTTTAAAGCTTATTTTCAATGCATGTTTTTTCTAGGTCAGCAAAAGTATAAAATAATAATGTATCGTATCGGATGTTTCATCTGATATCGCTTTTGTTCTTGTGTATTGACAAGGCTTAAAGGTCAGATGTGGGGTTTGAAGAACGATTCTACTAGCGCGGGGAGGTGGCATATGAAATATAGCACTTTAATATTTATAATTATCGTAGCAATTTTTAAAAATATATTCTAGATCTAAATCAAATCAGCTAAATGATAAATCGATTATTAAACTACGTAGACTAGATCTATTTAAAAATACCTCTGAACGATACCGTGTCCGCCGCCTTCTGCCATCAAAGTTGGCAGAACAAATTAGGTCAAACGTGTTGAGCTCCTTAATAAAAATAGTTTGAATATTTTATTTTGTTTCTATTTTATTTTTATGGTTGTACTATTACTTTTTAGACCTAGATCTAAAATATCGATCTAAAATCTACCTAAATTCTAAAAATATTTAATTTTTAGAAGTCTACATTTTTCGAAGTTTTAATTTTTTGTCCAGTGTCCGTTCCCCCGCAAATTTGACCTCTCATCCTACCAGAGGAAAATGTCTGAATTAGGCCTAAAGAATGAAACACTCATCGTCTGCCTCTCCGTCAAACTTTCATTTAGAGTTGTTGAGCTAAAATCCAACGATCCAACCAATTATGTGTAAAATGCTGTAGGGTTTTGACGTTTCCAAATTTCGTGTTTGACATGAGAATATCAAAGGACGAAACTAATGGCGATTTGACACGATATATCAACACACACACACACACACACACACACAATAGACTAAGCCTGGATATAGATCTAGTCTAGATCTTGCCAATGGCAGAGAATACGCGAAGTTTCATTTAGGTAAACGATATATATAGATATAAGTATAAGATCTTAATACTTAAATTACTTTCAATTTTTTAATGGCCGCCGACGTCCGTCCTAAAGAGGTACTTTCCTGTATTTCTGGTTTTTAAAATACCGATGACATGAGTGCCGTTTCAGGTAGGTAAACGAAATTTCAGACAGTCATTGGTATAATATCATATTCACTGGTTTCTTTTAAATTTAGAGTGATTTCCAATGACGGGAAGTAGTGCTTCACGCTGTTTCTGACTTCTCAAAAAAAAAAATCATAAGCATCTTGACTCTCTATCGTCCTTCATGGGCGGCAACCTGCGAGCAAATTTCGACCACTTCTACTAGACCGATATACTTTAAAAATTTCACGACAATGCGGTGTGACATAAAATGTAACTTGATAAGATATTAACTTTAAAAAAATCAATCAAGGTTTTTTTTTATTAAGTGCTAATTTTCCGCTCTGTTATACACACCTTGTTTGCTTTCATTTCGTGAGCAATTCTTTTTTTCTACTCGATTCTATCCTAATTGAATATTCGAGAAAGTTAAGGGGAAATCACGCCGCTTTATTTTTATTCAACTTGCCTCCTGGTCATGTCGTAAAGAATGAAAACCTGCAAACCAATTTATTTCTCCTCTAGTATAAGCGTGAATGGGTGCGTCGGTTCTGCTTGTATTTGCTACCATGTTAGTCCACATCAGTTTTAGTGTGGGATATGAGTGGAGACCACTGTATTCTAGTGTGTATGTGTGTGTGCGTGTGTGTCTTGTGTTATGCTGGATAGAATACACTGTGTTGCTGTTTAACATTATGTGTGGATGGATTTAAATATTGCAAACAGTCGTTTGTTTTCTTTAAGTCAAGTGTTTTGTAACACATCATCACACTGGTCATATCAACAACAGAAAGCTGTAGCATACATACGTAGGCCCACATCATCACACTAGTCATATCACAACAGAAAGCTGTAGCATACTGTAGCATACATACGTAGGCCCACATCATCACACTGGTCATATCAACAACAGAAAGCTGTAGCATACTGTAGCATACATACGTAGGCCTGCATCACCACACTAGTCATATCACAACAGAAATCTGTAGCATACTGTAGCATACATACGTAGGCCTGCATCATCACAACAGAAAGCTGTAGCATACTGTAGCATACATACGTAGGCCTGCATCACCACAACAGAAAGCTGAAGCATACATACGTAGGCCTGCATCATCACACTAGTCATATCACAACAGAAAGCTGTAGCATACTGTAGAATACATACGTAGGCCTGCATCACCACACTGGTCATTATTTAATGTCAGCATCATCACACTGGTCATTATTTAATGTCAGCATCCTGGTCAGTGGTCAAGGGATCCGTGATATTCCCCAAGGCGAAAGTGGCCTTTCTGATCGTGGAGCTCACCAAACCAGCGACGGATGGATGCCCGGGCCAAATTTCTTCTACCTCAGCTCTGGGAGCGAGCGACATCGAGAGGTCAGTGGTTCGAGTCCATGTTTGGCTTTGTACGGGCTTGCCCGATTTAAAAATAGCAAAACGTCAACTTTTGCTAGCTTTATTTTATCGCATAACAAAACAAAAAACAGTTCAAATTGTGTGCGATGTGCCGGGAGTAGATGGTATTATAGTCAGGGATGTAGGAAAAAAATTATTTACAGTTGGTGTTACTGGTAAGTTGGTCGTTCCTGAATGTCCATACGTTCTGTTTCACTTTTTGTTTGTAACCATAGACCAAGAATTATGTGATCTCAGTCCTATGAGACGCAGTATCTGGGCTAGTATGACGCAGTATCTGGGCAAGTATGACGCAGTATCTGGGCTAGTATGACGCAGTATCTGGGCTAGTATGACGCAGTATCTGGGCAAGTATGACGCAGTATCTGGGCTAGTATGACGCAGTATCTGGGCTAGTATGACGCAGTATCTGGGCTAGTATGACGCAGTATCTGGGCTAGTATGACTTGGTATCTGGGCTAGTATGACTTGGTATCTGGGCTAGCATGACGCAGTATCTGAGCTAAAGACTAGGAAAAAAGTATCCTAACTTTAGGATCGTGTAACCAGAAGGCCATCCACATACGCCAGCCCAATCTAAAATGTTTTCAGTCGTTTCAAAATGGCGGGTAGGGGGCGTGTCCGTTTGTGTCGCTAGGTGGTCTGTTTGTACTTCTTAGACAACGATAGAGGTAGCAGCTAAAAATAGATTGCATGTGATTAAATCATGATTGATTTTTCACACAAAAACGTGATTGATGATTAAGAAAAAAATATTGAGACACGCAGTGATTAGAAATATGATATTATGTTCAAGTAAAAATGTAAAAACTCAGACATGATTGTCTGTATGTTCGAAACGCGAGATTTTGTCAATTAGATTAACCGCCTTATATCACATTAATCATCGGAGAACGAAAAATAGGATTGAATAGAAAAATCTCCCGTTCTTTTTCTCTCCCCCCCCCCCTTGGTTTTATGCTTGCCCTACTCAGTTTACTTGTGTTTATTTATTTCTCTTCTAATCTAGCAATGGCGTCACTAGGCTGGGTGTCTATAAAAGGTTGCGTCCAAAAGGTTGCACTATTGCTAGTGTTGTTACTTTATTTAATATGCTAATCAGAAAGCCGTTAAATGTTTATCTTGCTGTGATATCTGTTAGTATATCAAGTTCCTTAAGTAACTATAACTTAAATAGTATATTGTAACTGTATATCAAGATTATGTGTATTCAAAAAATGGGCGCAGTGATTTTTATTTCATTTTTATTTTATATTTAACTGGAGGGTAATGTACGTACATACCGTAGAGTATCCATGTCATTTATTGAAGAGGATGGAACATTTATTGTGTCAATAGCTAGTGGCCTCCAACACAAAGTTGTGCGTCAATAGACACAGTGGTGCGTTGTTCTTCTTAAACATGAGCCGAAGACGTCAGCACATTTGTTATAAAAAATGGCCAGGTCTTAGAGTTAAAAGAAGATTTATTTTGACAACTGTTGTGCTTAGGAAAAATGAACACGTACCACAAAAATATAAGTCTTTGATACGTTCAACAGCAAGCCACTTTAAATAAAAAATTAAATATACTTTAAAATAATTTGTTTACTCTATAGTTGAGTTTGTTTTTTTTTGTTTCCTCCGTGAAGGATAAAAGGTAAAGGGGATTGACTTATGTATTAGGTGGCAGTCTTGGAACTGTGGTATTTGGTGGCACGTCTTGAGGCTGTGGTCAAATATTTCTGGCTAACTCATAACTTTCTATGTCAAAACCAACAGATGTGTTTGAAGGGGACTTTGCTGGTTCAGTCGTGTGTTTAAGTCAAACATAATCTCACACACACAACCTCACAATCACACACAGACTTCACAATCACACACAGACCTCAAACATAACAGAAGAAGTTCACCATGTCATACATCAAGCGAGTAGCGGATTAAGGGTGGGGGGGGGGGGGGGGGGGGTAGAGAGGACTGCAGTTAGGAGCCCCCGATTTTTAGAGGCCCCCAAATTTACTGCTTAATAGTTGGTTTTCACTGCTTAATAGTTGGTTTTCACTCTAAAAGCCAAAATTTTGATGTTTGCATCACAAAGATTCATATTTTACAAAATATCTAATATGCACGCACACACACACACATATATATATATATATATATATATATATATATATATATATATATATATATATGTATATATATATATATGTATATATATATATATATATATATATATATATATATATATATATATATATATATATATATATATATATATATGTATATATATATATATATATGTATATATATATATATATGTATATATATATATATACATATATATATACATATATATATATATATATATATATGTATATATATATATGGGCCCCCAAAAATTTTCAGCAAGGGGCCCCGCTCAAGCCTTATCCGCCCCAGCCACTCACACCTCCCACACCAAACAAAAGTGACTACTGAATGATTCTGGTCTTCCCCCCCCCCCCCCCCCACAGAATGGACAAGTTTGTCAACATCCACGGCCACTGCTACATCGTGTTACAGGCCCCTCTCTTCACAGACACAGAGCTCAGTACACTGTCCTTCTTACAGACCAAGTGAGTCAACTTCTCTTCATTGTCTACATCCCGACACTATACTGTCACCCCACTGTCGTTCTTACAGACCAAGTGAGTCAACTTCTCTTCATTGTCTACATCCCGACACTATACTGTCACCCCACTGTCGTTCTTACAGACCAAGTGAGTCAACTTCTCTTCATTGTCTACATCCCGACACTATACTGTCACCCCACTGTCCTTCTTACAGACCAAGTGAGTCAACTTCTCTTCATTGTCTACATCCCGACACTATACTGTCACCCCACTGTCCTTCTTACAGACCAAGTGAGTCAACTTCTCTTCATTGTCTACATCCCGACACTATACTGTCACCCCACTGTCCTTCTTACAGACCAAGTGAGTCAACTTATCTTCACTGTCTACATCCCGACACTATACTGTCACCCCACTGTCCTTCTTACAGACCAAGTGAGTCAACTTCTCTTCATTGTCTACACCCCGACACTATACTGTCACCTCACTGTCCTTCTTACAGACCAAGTGAGGCAACTTATCTTCATTGTCTACATCCCGACACTATACTGTCACCCCACTGTCCTTCTTACAGACCAAGTGAGTCAACTTCTCTTCATTGTCTACATCCCGACACTATACTGCCACCCCACTGTCCTTCTTACAGACCAAGTGAGTCAACTTCTCTTCATTGTCTACATCCCGACACTATACTGACACCCCACTGTCCTTCTTACAGACCAAGTGAGTCAACTTCTCTTCATTGTCTACATCCCGACACTATACTGTCACCCCACTGTCCTTCTTACAGACCAAGTGAGTCAACTTCTCTTCATTGTCTACATCCCGACACTATACTGTCACCCCACTGTACAGCCCCCCCCCCCCTCTTGATTGACGTAGGCCTACACAGTAGTCATCTTAATCAACAGACTTCTTAAGCGCGCTTACCTCACCGTCTTGATTACACATTCAACATTGAGCTTATGGTTTGAAAGTTTTTAATTTGGTGTCGGCTTGAAACCAACCCCCCACCCCCCCCCCCCCACCCCCCAGCTATCTCCAACACAAAGTCGACGTGTTACCTGCTCACAGCTACGATGATTGTATGACGGCAATGCTGACCATTGTATCGGTAAGTTATGTCAGTTTATGGTGTCATGTCGGCATATGGTGTCATGTCAATATATGGTGTCATGTCAGCATATGGATTCATTGCCGTTAGGATACAGTGACATGATATTGATACCATGGTGTTGTGTTGAAATATGGTGTCTTGTTCAAATAGTTTCACGTCAAACTGTGGTGTCTTGTTCAAATAGTTTCACGTCAAACTGTGGTGTCTTGTTCAAATAGTTTCAATGGTGTCTTGTTCAAACAGTTTTACGTCAAACTGTGGTGTCATGTTCAAATAGTTTCACGTCAAACTGTGATGTCTTGTTCAAATAGTTTCACGTCAAACTGTGGTGTCTTTTGCTGTTACACAACCTCAGATTCTCAGAATATGGTGCCATGTGTTATGTCAGAATGTCATGTAAGAATACAGTGTCATGCCAGAATGTCACGTCAGACTTCAGTGCCATGTGTCATGTCAGAGTATGGTGTTATGCCAGAATGTCATGCCATGTCATAATATGGTGTCATATGTTGTTCTAGCTACAGATCCCGCCAAAATCAGACCTCCTCCACCAGAGATTTTGTGACCTGATGACCGACATCCTCAAGCCTTTCCCCGTCAAGAAATTCTGAGCAAAAAAATCTTGCCCCAAGTCAAGATTTACAGGGGAAAAAATATTTCCATCACGCTGCGTAGAGTTAAAGGAAATTTAATTCAATGTCTGCCTAATTTCGTTCCACGTCATTTGGTTTTTTTATATTATTATTTTGCCAAAATATTGGGGGGTGGGGCCGTATCATGTCTACCAGCCCATTACACCTGCATTATCTACCAGTCAAACACAGAAAGTTCAAAACATCTTTCCAAAATCATTCTCCTGACATATCCATTGAAAAGTTGTCAAACTCACCTCAAGAAAATAAAAGTTTCCAGTTTGATACATTATCTGCAGCACTATCTTGCCTGACCAGCTAACTGTCAAACTAATTGTATCCGAAAGTTATTGGAAAAAAAAATGTTTCATCTAAAAACTAAATCTAAAAACCACATCAGAAACCAGAGTAATGAAATCAATAATCCAGACAATCCAATTTCGTCCCAAAGTCGTAAAATACATTTCTTTTTTTAAATCTAATTTTTTTTTTTTAATTAAATCTTTAATGCGGGACTAATAAAATCAACAATCCAGAGGAAAATTACATTGAACTATTGAAGTGAAAGAATACAAACTACTAAAATGGAAAGTTTGATTTCTGAAGTCATGCACTTTTTTTTAGTAAAGTTATATAGTACTAAAGTGTTAATTGTCTTGTCAGGTTACAAGTAAATAAATGTAATAAAGCTAATACTTAATAATAACGTTTATTAAAATGATAAGTCAACTTCTATTTAAAAATACCAATAGTAACATAAGCTCAACATGATAGACTAAACAGAATTACTTGAATACATTTCAGTTCAAATTGAAAACAAGTTTATTATATAATCTGTGTGTAAGGCAAAAGCTATGCATTGATGCTGGTGCAAAACATACAGATAGAATGGACATAAAACCAAACGAAATGGATATGTTCACATAATAATAACTGTCATCATTTCAAACACATGTACAAACAGCAAGGATTTTAAATTATTTGTTTTTAAATTTTATGAGAGAAATAAAAATATAAGGTTTCATAACCTATTGTACATAATTTGATTAAAAACATAGCGAAATGTTAGGGCTTTTAATTTAATACAAATTTGTCATTAAAAACTATAATTCTCATTTTTAAGTCAAACGTTCTTTCATTATTTTTTTTTTGTGAATTTAAATTTGGCCAAAAGATGTGGATTTTTTTCTTTTACACAAATGTAAAAAAAATCTGTTTAATGTAAAAATAGTCCTATCTTATTTTTAATGTTTTTTGTAGACATTTTCTTAAATTAAAACCTAAAAATATAATTAGACAAGAATAGGACTAGAAGGCTTAAAAATCACAGTACAAAAATCAATATGTCAGGCTTCAGTGTTCCTGTGAAGATTTTGTTCAATGTTTTTGAGCGTGGCGTACATGTCATGGATGTCCGTCCTCATGCTGTCCAGCTGCTGGGTCACTGTGGACCTGAACTCTGCCTGGGCCCTCTCCTCACCACGGTCCACTCTGTTCTCAGGCTCAGGCATCTCCTTGATGACATCAATGTACCATCTCTTGAACTTATGTTCTTTATCCCACTTACTTATGTACCTGGTGCAGAGGTGCTTGGATTATTGTATACAGAGATAGATAAGTTTTCAATGTTGGTGGGGGGGGGGATGTAAGAAAGTAACTAACTATACTATATTTTTTTGTTTGCTAGTTCATGGTATGTGGCAGTTCTTGTATCTAAATTTTGACCTATTCAAAAGCATCAAATTGGTTCAAACTTGTTTAGATAGATTTGTCTCCAGTGACATTAGGTTGGTTAGTAAAATTGTATCTAAAAATGACAAAATTCAATTTAAAGAAGGAAGATAGCTAGTGATTCTTTGATCAGCAGAGGGATTATTTTTGCCTGATTGTCAAATATTTTTAGTTGTAGTCCATGTGGTGTCAACTTCATTTGGAACAAATCACTAAAAAGTGAAAACAAATGAAAAAAGCCTTTTTTAAAATAATCTCATAAATGCACTGAAAATAAGAAAATAAAACAGATTTGCTTTCCTTAAAAACAAGCTTTGGATTCAAATATATGTAAGTGATCTCATTGTGACCAAATCTCTTACTAAAGATAGGAAGATATTTCCTTATTTTTAATGCATTTAATTTAAAAGCTTATTATTTTATAAAGGTTTTTTAATATTTGTTTTATTATTTTACAAAGTCTTGAGACAGGTAAAGCTAAATCAAAAAACTACAAAATATTATGGCGCTATAGTATAATAGACCATTCAGTTTCTTATGGAATGCCAGTAAATTATAGCTAGGATTATCTTACCCTTCTACAACCTTGACCTTACTAAACATGGGAAAGGTCAAAGGTAAACTTTTCTCAACATCAACACCAAGTTGGGCAGACTCAATTCTCCAGGCCTGCCGTTGTTTCTGTAGGGAAAAATAATTGAGAATTAGAGGTTGCTATTATCACAAATGTTTCAGAGTTATAGGTTTCTATAGCCACAAATATTTTTAAAATTAAAGGTCTCTATTGCCACAAATATTTGAGAATTAGACCAAGACATTTCTGGTTGTTAAAATATGTACAGCAATTAGTGTTACAGTTACAGCAATTAATTTTATAATTACCCAAACAAATTTTTAATTTTTATCATTAAGTTATTGTTTTTATACATAACTTTGCTTATTCTAAATTTAGAATTAAAAACAAAGTGAAACCAACCCTAAGGATTTCTCTGTAGGAGTCATTCATCATGGCAATCAGCAGATTCAGTAAAACAATGGTGGCCAAGATCATGTAGATCACATACAGTATCTGTTGATAGAATATAAACAGTTTATTATGTAGATCACATACAGTATCTGTTGATAGAATATAAACAGTTAATCATGTTGATCACATACAGTATCTGTTGATAGGATTATAAACAGTTTATTATGTAGATAACATACAGTATCTGTTGATAGGATTATAATCAGTTTATTATGTAGATCACATACAGTATCTGTTGATAGAATATAAACAGTTAATCATGTAGATAACACACAGAAGCCTATCTAAACAGATTAATATAAATATTTTATCATATAGATCACACAGATAATCTGTAACACAATGTAAACAATGAAGATCACAAAGAAAATCATAATACAACAAGTATAGTAGTCAGAATGTATAGCCAGTATAGGCTTACCTATCGTCCATTGTCATGATCATAGATCTAGTTATGGAAGTTTTAATTATTTAGCGATGTACATTTCCATAATTTAATGGAATTTATGGTGCTTTTGTGATGTACCTTTTTCAAATTCCATAATTTAACAAACTAGTGGTGTAGATTTCCATGATTTAACAATTAAAAAACTAGTGGTGTAGATTTCCATAATTTAACAATGCAGACAATGACCTTCATTAACAGAGCACTCCTGTTGACTGTACTGTAGCCAGTCTCAATGCCGTTGCTTATAAAGTCATTGTCCATCCCAATCATCATGTTAAACATAAGGAAGATGGTGTAGGTGGGATCAGGGTAGTCGGTTGACAAACTCATTGAAACTGGGGGGGGGGGGGGGGGGGGGGAGACATTTTTAATGTAAGTTATTTATTATTTAGACGTTAAAAAAATGTATACCTCAATAAATATTTACCAGTTAAAATGTATTTATTCTAAAGTAGGTCTAGGACTGTAAAAGTTAATATAAGTATTATAAGGTTGGTTTGGTGCCTTGGTCAATTGAAATCATCTATTGTTCTTTTTGTTTAATAAATATATAAGTATAAAAATATAATAAAAAGGTGATTGTTTAAATAGTATTTAATTAGAATTAAAATAATTGTTGTTAGCTACTCTACCTTGAAAGAGGGCATGGAAGGCAAATGAGAAAGCCAGCAGAACAAAAAGGTAGATAAACAAAAATTTGAACACATCTCTGATAATCATGATTTGAATCATTCGCCAAAAGTAATTGATAACTTTAAATCCTCTGGTGAAAGCTATTGTAAACATCCATCCTAAATATTAAAAACAGAAGAACAACAGGAATTAATGATTATTACAGCAAAGATAGTTTGTATCTCAACAAACTGCATGATTATTTTAATACTAGTATACACAGTGCTAAAACTAGAAATGTAAACAACACACATATACACAGTGCTAAAACTAGAAATGTAAACAACAAACCTATACACAGTGCTAAAACTAGAAATGTAAACAACACACATATACACAGTGCTAAACTAGAAATGTAAACAACACACCTATACACAGTGCTAAAACTAGAAATGTAAATAACACACCTATACACAGTGCTAAAACTAGAAATGTAAACAACAAACCTATACACAGTGCTAAAACTAGAAATGTAAACAACACACTGCTAAAACTAGAAATGTAAACAACACACCTATACACAGTGCTAAAACTAGAAATGTAAATAACACACCTATACACAGTGCTAAAACTAGAAATGTAAACAACAAACCTATACACAGTGCTAAAACTAGAAATGTAAACAACACACAGTGCTAAAACTAGAAATGTAAACAACACACCTATACACAGTGCTAAAACTAGAAATGTAAACAACACACAGTGCTAAAACTAGAAATGTAAACAACAAACCTATACACAGTGCTAAACTAGAAATGTAAACAACAAACCTATACACAGTGCTAAAACTAGAAATGTAAACAACACACAGTGCTAAAACTAGAAATGTAAACAACAAACCTATACACAGTGCTATGGCCAGGAAATAATCCATGTAGGCATAGTCCACGACATACGTTACAATCCATATGATGACAAATATGGAGTATATGAGGCCAACAAGAACAGACAGGAATGTCATAAGTACAGTTAAAATACTTTTCTGAGACAGTTTAGACCTATTCATTGAATTTAAAATAGAACATTAGTTTCATTAGGATATGTTATTGAAATAGTTAGACCGGTCATTGAATTTAGAGTAGAACATAAGTTTCATTAGAAGTCAATGGTATTGTTAGACCTCGCAGCTATCTAAGTTAGAAGTAAATACAGTTTCTAGTATTTCTACTCTAGACTAGATTGTCAAATCGCCAGTCAAATTGTATGAATTAACAATTTTATAGCCAATCAAAAAGTAAAGATACTTTGGATTTTGAGTGTTGAAGCTGAGGACAACATTAAATATGTCATGGGCCTACTTCAGTAATTAAGTAGTGTTAGAATACATAAGGGAACTAACTATGTTAGTCATGCTCTTTGGCATTAATAAAGTAGTGCCCCTTAGATTTGTTTTAGTTTAATTCAATAGTTTTTTATTTTAACCTTTTTGGAGGTACTGAACCCCACTAGTGTCATATGCGCATTCACCTAACCCATCTTTATAGTTCTATCATCCCCACTGACAAAATCCATCATGAATCATATGAGTTGGGTATGTGTCTTGACCTTTGCCATCCCCCCCCCCCACATCACAACTTGACCATATGTCTTTACCTAACAGACAACTCCCCCATACAACACAACTTGACCATATGATATGCGTTGTAGAAGACGAAGAAGGCAGGTTCTAGTGGCACAATGATGTAGGTCACCAGTGTGGGGCCGTCGTTGGTCCTCTCCCCTGGGCTAGTCCTGCTGTTGTACAGGAGGGTCAGTCCTGACCAGCTGAAAATATACAGAGGGTCAGTCCTGGCTAACTGGAGACAGAGGGTCAGTCCTGGCTAACTGGAGACAGAGGGTCAGTCCTGGCTAACTGGAGACAGAGGGTCAGTCCTGGCTAACTGGAGACAGAGGGTCAGTCCTGACCAGCTGAAAATATACAGAGGGTCAGTCCTGGCTAACTGGAGACAGAGGGTCAGTCCTGGCTAACTGGAGACAGAGGGTCAGTCCTGGCTAACTGGAGACAGAGGGTCAGTCCTGGCTAACTGGAGACAGAGGGTCAGTCCTGGCTAACTGGAGACAGAGGGTCAGTCCTGGCTAACTGGAGACAGAGGGTCAGTCCTGGCTAACTGGAGACAGAGGGTCAGTCCTGGCTAACTGGAGACAGAGGGTCAGTCCTGACCAGCTGAAAATATACAGAGGGTCAGTCCTGGCTAACTGGAGACAGAGGGTCAGTCCTGACCAGCTGAAAATATACAGGGGGTCAGTCCTGGCTAACTGGAGACAGAGGGTCAGTCCTGGCTAACTGGAGACAGAGGGTCAGTCCTGGCTAACTGGAGACAGAGGGTCAGTCCTGGCTAACTGGAGACAGAGGGTCAGTCCTGGCTAACTGGAGACAGAGGGTCAGTCCTGACCAGCTGAAAATATACAGAGGGTCAGTCCTGGCTAACTGGAGACAGAGGGTCAGTCCTGGCTAACTGGAGACAGAGGGTCAGTCCTGGCTAACTGGAGACAGAGGGTCAGTCCTGGCTAACTGGAGACAGAGGGTCAGTCCTGGCTAACTGGAGACAGAGGGTCAGTCCTGGCTAACTGGAGACAGAGGGTCAGTCCTGACCAGCTGAAAATATACAGAGGGTCAGTCCTGGCTAACTGGAGACAGAGGGTCAGTCCTGGCTAACTGGAGACAGAGGGTCAGTCCTGGCTAACTGGAGACAGAGGGTCAGTCCTGGCTAACTGGAGACAGAGGGTCAGTCCTGGCTAACTGGAGACAGAGGGTCAGTCCTGGCTAACTGGAGACAGAGGGTCAGTCCTGGCTAACTGGAGACAGAGGGTCAGTCCTGACCAGCTGAAAATATACAGAGGTTCAATCCTGACCAACTACAAACAGAAAACAAATATTTTGAATGTGCCCCATATGACATTACACAGTTGTGGTCTCAACAAGCTATATTCTTTCTGTAGTTTATGGTATCTTTATTTAAAAGTGCATGTGTTGGCTTCTTTACATGTATACTATATGTATAAGTATAAGTACAGGTGTGTTAATCCAGGTAAGAACATGGCCTACCTGAAGATACTCATACAGATAATCTGGACTATCATAACAATGATGGCCTACCTGAAGATACTCATATAGATAATGTGGACTATCATAACAATGATGACCAACCTGAAGATACTCATATAGATAATGTGGACTATCATAACAATGAAGGCCTACCTGAAGATGCTCATATAGATAATGTGGACTATCATAACAATGATGACCTACCTGAAGATACTCATATAGATAATGTGGACTATCATAAAAATGATGGCCTACCTGAAGATACTCATATAGATAATGTGGACTATCATAACAATGATGACCTACCTGAAGATACTCATATAGATAATGTGGACTATCATAACAATGATGGCCTACCTGAAGATACTCATATAGATAATGTGGACTATCATAACAATGATGGCCTACCTGAAGATACTCATATAGATAATGTGGACTATCATAACAATGATGACCTACCTGAAGATACTCATATAGATAATGTGGACTATCATAACAATGATGGCCTACCTGAAGATACTCATATAGATAATGTGGACTATCATAACAATGATGACCTACCTGAAGATACTCATATAGATAATGTGGACTATCATAACAATGATGGCCTACCTGAAGATACTCATATAGATAATGTGGACTATCATAACAATGAAGGCCTACCTGAAGATACTCATATAGATAATGTGGACTATCATAACAATGATGGCCTACCTGAAGATACTCATATAGATAATGTGGACTATCATAACAATGACATATGTCCAGGCAGACACTGAGCTGTAGGCTGTCTCAATGGCACTGAAGGGCTGCAATACAAACAGTTGACTTGGTGGATGTTTTGGTGGAATATAAATGTCTTAAAATTTTCTGGATGTTTCACTATGCCTATGACCAACTAGCAATCAAGATAAATTAAATAAATAACTAAACTTCCAATAAATAATATTAAAAAGTTTGAAGCACCTGAATGTTAAGGACACTAGCAGCATTTTCTGGCAAGTCAGAACCAGTGGCCAGGAGCCACTCTAAACATGAAGGTCTAGGGCTGACAGAACCCTGGCTCCACAAGCTGCCCAGAGTCCCATTAGTCCTGGGGGTTACACCAGTTACATCATACCGCAGGTGCTTGCCTACCTATCAGAGAAATGTTTTCCTAAAGTTGTTATATAAAACAATAGCTAGGCATTCAGAATAAACAGGTAATTTCATTCATAATCGTATGAATTAATCAAATCTGTACTTTGTATATTTGTAAATAGGCCTATAACAGTAAGGATGGGAAGACACTTCCTGTGCAATAAGACTATACAAAATATTGAAGTTTATGAAAAAAAAATGCTAGTTTTGCAGCTACCATTTGTATTTAGTTTTTCAAGAAAACAGAGGCAAAAAGTTCTTAGAATATCTTAGAAAATCTGATATCAAATTATCAAATTCTTAAGGATTTTTAATAATCAAAATAAAAGTACCCCTTCTGGTTACCAGAGATGGATGGATAAAAGTTGATAGAAATCTAAATATAGGAGCAACTACTTAAACTTAAAGGCCTATTTGAACAATCATTCACCTAACTGTAATGGCACTCAAGTTATCGCAATTTTAGAAACTGGAAATTTAGTAAAGTACCGCTTTAGTGATCGAAAGCAAAATTTTATTCTCATTTAAAGCAACTTTGTCTAACTAACTGAAATATTTTGTCTACCTAACTGAAATATTTTGTCTACCTAACTGAAATATTTTGTCTACCTAACTGAAATATTTTGTCTACCTAACTGAAATATTTTGTCTACCTAACTGAAATACTTTGTCTACCTAACTGAAATATTTTGTCTACCTAACTGAAATATTTTGTCTACCTAACTGAAATATTTTGTCTACCTAACTGAAATATTTTGTCTACCTAACTGACAGATTACTATTATTACATTTGTTTTATTATAATAAAAATGAATTCAAGATATTTTTACATTCAACACAAAGATATTGTTTAATCAATTGTAATTAATTAATTATTTTGTTTAAATAAATAACATCAACTGATCAACAAAGATAAATCATATTTTTCTTGAAATTGAATGAACATCTAATGAAATTAAGTGAACATCTACTAATGAAACTGACCTTAAAAACAAAGACATCCTCCATATTCACAATAAGCTGGATGACATCATTAGCTTTAATTTTACAAGCAAGATCAAGGACAGTCAAGTCCTCATTGTTGAGCAGTTCAGTGACCAGAATCTGGATGCCTCGTCTCCTGTAGAAGGCTTGACACTCCTTGCTCCTGCACTCCTTCACCTGCTTCAGGGTGCAGTACAGCTGATGGGGAAAATTTCATCTTTCTCAGACATGGGCTCAATTATAGTGATACCAGGTCACTGGCATGCAGAGGCAATGGGGTGTAAATGGGGGGTAAATATGTCCCCTGGCGCCGACAGGGGGTGCCAAAATAAGCTCATTTTAGCTGCTATTTTTAATTATAAACAAAAAAATGTATGGGTGGGGCGCCAAATTGAAAGTTTGTCCCTGGAGGCTGTGAGGGGTCGCTACCCCTCTGCTGACATGGAGGTCACTAAAATATGGTCATTGACCCGGGGGTCATAAACATGAGGTCAGTGACATGGGGGTCACCAACATGATCAATGGCATAATGGTCGATACAAAATGTTATATCTATAATTAACCATTTACAGGCCTATACGCCTGCGGTCGCCCATGAATTTTTTAATGTGGTACTTGTACAGTCCATTGCGCCCACAGTCGCCATACTATGTATTGTACGTTTATTTATAGATCTATGTATTTGCACGGCAGAAGCAGGAAATAATACGTTTTGTTTACGTTGTTTTCTTGTTGTTCTATCACTAGAGGTTCATTCTCTACGATTTTTCTAAAGTTAATAATTTTTTTTTCAAAATTAAGAGCAATACAATATAATTAATGAATCTAATTAAAATGCCTTTGCCATTGAATTGTGCTTTATTTATAACGTAACTATTGAAAAGAAAGCAGTGACAATGTTGAATGTTTTTTAACATTTAAAATACAAATTTTAGTTAGAAGTAGTGTTTTGTTTACATTTTTCTAGGATAGTGGTCGTGTTATTTTTACTGATTATTATGAAACTTTATAAGCTTTATAACCTCATGCATAATAAACTTGGACAAATTTTGTGTACAATTATAATGCTTTTTGTTTTAATTTTTTTAGCATAAGTGGTTATTTACGATTTTTTATTTTAAAAAAGTGCTGTGGTTGAAAAATGTGTCTTCTTTTCACCCAGCCGTAGTGGAAGTAAAATCATTTTGATGCCCAGGCTGGTAAAGGGTTAATAAATCCTCTGGTAACTAGGTGTGTTTACCTGCTGTCCCCTGTAAATCCTCTGGTGGTAACTAGGTGTGTTTACCTGCTGTACCCTGTCCAGCATGGTACACATGATGTCCAGGTACTGGGACTTGTGAGAGGGGTCAGTCACTGTTAAACTGGTCAGCATGTGGAGCAAGGCAGTCTGCTTGTAGTCCTCAAACTCTAGTGAAATATGGGCCCCATACAGCATCAAACGCTGGACACCTCCCAGAAAACCTTCCCTGTTCAGGTATGACAAATGTAAGAGCACACTATATCCTATCATGTTGGCAGTCCACTATATCCTATAATGTTGGCAGTCCACTATATCCTACGATGTTGGCAGTCGAGAATCGGAGACAAATAATTAAGCTTTTCTCTCGTTAACCAGTGGCCGGACACATTCTGCGAGGTGTGTGTTCCACCCCAGGACTTTCAACAGTTTCCCACCCACACCTACCCCAGGGCATTGCTCTCCTGTCAATAGATGACCTACATTTTTGAACACAGGTCTCAGGCCATTGACTTTCAAACTGCCACCCCCAACAAAGAGCACCAAAGACTGCCACCCCCAACAGAGAGCACCAAAGACTGCCACCCCCAACAAAGAGCACCAAAGACTGCCACCCCCAACAAAGAGCACCAAAAACTGCCACCCCCAACAAAGAGCACCAAAGACTGCCACCCCCAACAAAGAGCACCAAAGACTGCCACCCCCAACAAAGAGCACCAAATGCAAACACTTTCATCATGTTTGATTCATTTTATAATTTCACTCAGTGAAAGAACTGATGCCGTGATGGAAAATATATTTTATTTTTATCCTTTTTGATCAGTTAAGGCTTCATTATATAAATTGAGGTATTATAACATTTCCATTCAAAAGTGCTAATTTAGCTGATAAATTAATTAAATAATAAATTGTCAGGGTTTTTTTTAATAGTATCTAGATAGTATTATTAACTTAAAAAAGAATATGGGACATTAGTACTTGCCATATCTTAATAAATAGATGATTTAACTCCCTTTAACTCCTTCAAACTGTACCCCATGAGTGAAATAGTTTTGAAAGAATAAAAATTCATAGTGTTCCATTCATCTGATTTTCAAAGTGATTGTATTTATTTCACATTTTAAAATGATATTTTATACTGAACATGTTGGAAATCACCAATAGATTACACAAATTGTGGATGTTCTAAATTAACTTCAGCCTACCTAGCCGCAAGATACAAGCAGGTCTGCATCTTTTTATTCTTGTGATTGATGTCACAGTCTCGTTTCATAGCGTCATAAATGTCCAACATCATCTCCAGAACTTCTGGCTCTCCTGGTCTGAAAACATTTTTTTTTAACCATCAGACACAACTTGATGCTTTACCCAGCTTTCTCAAACACTCAAAATATAGGCTACACTCAATAAATAAATATAATCAAACACTCAAAATATAGGCTACACTCTATAAATAAATACAACCAAACACTCAAAATATAGGCTACACTCATTAAATATTCAAACACTCAAAATATAGGCTATACTCAATAAATATAATCAAACACTCAAAATATAGGCTACACTCAATAAATAAATATAATCAAACACTCAAAATATAGGCTACACTCAATAAATAAATATAATTAAACACTCAAAATATAGGCTACACTCATTAAATATTCAAACACTCAAAATATAGGCTATACTCAATAAATATAATCAAACACTCAAAATATAGGCTACACTCAATAAATAAATATAATTAAACACTGAAAATATAGGCTATACACAATAATTATAAATATAATCAAACACTCAAAATATAGTCTACACTCAATAAATAAATATAATCAAACACTCAACATTTAGGCTATTATTAATCTGAAGTCAACAGCTAAGATTAGTTAAAACAAAAACAAATCTTTATTCGCTGACTAAATGCGTCATGTAGAACAACCAGGTGTAAGTTGTTTAAGTGAGAATACCTTGGACCATCTAATTAAAGTTTTACCTGACAGCCTCATGTAGAACAACCAGGTGTAAGTTAAGTGAGAATACCTTGGACCATCTAATTAAAGGTTTACCTGACAGCCTCATGTACTGCTATGTTGCCATCAAAATCTTCATCCTTGAAGCTCACAAACCTGAACTCCCAGAGAACTTGTGGCCGCGCATGTTTGGCAGCGATGTGTAAAGGGTTTCTTCCATGGCTGCAACAAATAAATAAATCTTTCTTAAAGAAGTGAAGCCCTAAAGTGAATTGGTAGAACACAAAACTACAAACACTAGCAGCACTGCTGTGTCGTGATCAAAATGCTGAATATCTGCTCCTTTATCTTATTTCACTGCAACAACAATTAAGTCACAATATTTATTAGCCCAATTTTAATTTTTTAAATTTGTAAACTAAAATTAATATTTTCTTATGAAAAAGATGGAAAGAAGTGGAATAAATATTTTCCAAAACAAAGAGAGTGCCTCACATTTGCCATTTCAACTAAAATATTTTCTATACCAAAAGATCTCCCATATCAACAAAAATATTTTCTACACCAAAAGATTGCCTCCATATCAACAAAAATATTTTCTACACCAAAAGATTGCCTCCATAGCAACTAAAATATTTTCTACACCAAAAGATTGCCTCACTTGTCGGAAATGTTGAGACACTCCCAGGGATGTGTCTTGATGATGTAATCCATAAGCTTGGACACAGTTTGAGGCTGAATATGTTTGGAGTAGGCCGCAACATGGAGGGCTGTTTCACCTAGAAACAAAATTTATTTAATTATTTTAATACAGTGGAACTATTAAAATTCAAAAATATTTTTTAAATATGTAGTGATATATATATATATATATATATATATATATATATATATATATATATATATATATATATATATATATATATATATATATATGTATATATATATATATATAATGTTTTTTTTCATTAATGTTAATGAGGTACTTAATGAATTGTCAAATTTGTCTGTGTAAATGCCATATTGCTCATTGACAGGTTTGTATAGTATCATTATCTTTTATTCTGAGAGTTAATAAAACAAGAAAATTACCTTTAGAGTTTTTAATATTGGCCATTACATGGAACTGTATGAGCTCCATAATGACCTCGTGATGACCTTTTATACAAGCTTCATGTAGGGCTGTGTTCCCATAGTTGTTTGTGCTGTCAATGTTTACCTGGGTTAAAAGGGTTAATCCCATATGGATAATATAATTAGTGAAAGAGCTATACTAGACACAGTTGGAATTCATTTATGCCATGAGAGTCTATAAAAATAGTATGTGTTAAAATGTCAAAAGACAGCAAACATTCAATCCAACTACAGCATCAAATTTCTAATCATGTAAAGAAAGTGTGATGTTTAAATCTTGTCCATGTATAAACAATGACACAACTAAAAATACAATCTAACAGCTCCTCTAAGCTTATACACACAAGACTCTACCACTTTATAAAATTCTCTTATACACAAGACTCTACCACTTTATAAAATTCTCTGATGACCACTGTTCTGTTGTTCATGGCAGCGTGGTGTACAAAATTGTTGCCCTCTTTGTCAGTAGCACATGCATCTACCTGTTGATTCACTTGTGAAACAGTCAAATTAAACACATAGCTAGAGAAAAATTTTAAAATTTACACTTGCTAAACATCTCCCTTTTTACAAACAACTCTACTAGTAATACATTAAATTTTACAGTTACTAAAGCCATCGAATATAATTAGCTAAAATGTTATTTAGAGAGTAAACTGGCTTTTAAGTCACATTTTATTTCTTAAGAATTTTGACAGGGAAGTGTAATATTGTATGACGAATTTAAACTATAAAACCTCTTCAATCCCTAACATTATGTAAAGTTAAGCAAGTACAAAACCTACTTTTACTTATTGCTACAAAACCTAAGAAACAAACCTTTAATTCCAGTAGAAGTTTGATTTTTTCAGTGGTGCCTGAGGCAGCAGCAAGCAGAAGCAGGGAGCTAACTCCAGTCTTCAGATCAGCGTGAGCTGAAAATTTATGACAGTTTTTCAACTATTTAAAGTATATCTGAAAATGTATGAAACATTTTCACTGATTTAAAATAAATTTAAAAAACAAATGTTTACACAAGACATGACAAGGTTGATCACATCTCACACTTCATATTTCTCAATTTGTTCAATGCCACAGCAGCCACTGACCTAGCCAAGCAAACGCTTACATTGAGCAGACGCCTGTAGTTCCAGCACCAGAAGCTTGAGGATGATGTCACTGTTGTTGCTGACAGCATACGCCCACACGTCTTCTCCCATCAAGTTCTTGTGGTTAACATTTGATCCAAGTCTCAGCTGCATTCAAGAAATTCTTACATTGTTATATTACAGACTGATGCTTACATCTTTATTACAGACAGATGCTTACATCTTTATTACAGACAGATGCTTACATCTTTATTATAGACAGATGCTTACATCTTTATTACACACAGATGCTTACATCTTTATTACAGACAGATGCTTACATCTTTATTACAGACATATGCTTACATCTTTATTACAGACAGATGCTTACATCTTTATTACAGATAAGTGTTAATGTTTTAGTGAAAGAAAATCAGGTCACTGGTGGCACACATTTCAACCAGTTACTTTCAGGGCAGGAGATCTAAGCCACCTTTACCACTCCCACCCCTTTCCTTGACAAAATTAGAAATTCAAGTGCACCCCACCCCCTAGCAGAGTAATGTCTGAAAGAAACAATGATTCACTGATACTAACTCTAATTAGAATTAGAAAGTATCAAAAGTCCCAATATATAATAATGTTAAGGCCCCATTTGTAAATATATATGTTGTTTGATATGTGTATCTTTAACTTAACTTAAAAGCTTTAGACAGACTGTCCATGTTTAGCAGTTAAATTTTATTATACTAACCAGAGTCTGTAAGGCTTTAGGCTGTCCATGTTTAGCAGTTAAAAATAAAGCTTATACTAACCAGTGTCTGTAAGGCTTTAGGTTGTCCATGTTTAGCAGTTAAATTTTTGTATACTAACCAATGTCTGTAAGGCTTTAGGCTGTCCATGTTTAGCAGTTAAAAATAAAGCTTATACTAACCAGAGTCTGTAAGGCTTTAGGCTGTCCATGTTTAGCAGTTAAAAGTAGGGCTGTATCACCTCGCTCATCTGCTGCATCTATTTCTGCACCATTGGCCACAAGAATCTGGAAAATGAGTTTATCAGTCTACTGCCATTGTTTGGGTTGTTGTAAGATTACACTTGTTACTTCAAGATTAAGAAAAGAATAGCCTCCATTATTAATAACTTAAATATTAATTTATATTAGTTTTTAGTTTTAGGCCAAAAAAAGTACAGATCTAAACCAGATCTAGATCATATCAGTCACTACATCTAATTCTAATTATGCTAATACTGTAATTTATTCATAACCTTTGTTCAAAGTTAAAACACAGAAGCATCTCATATCCACAAACATGAGCTTTTACTCTCTCATGGTCTTTTTTTGTTTTTAAATGTAATTTTAATTAGTTAAAAAATTACATTTAAAACAGTCACTAAATTAATAATAAAACAGACCCTGATAACTTTGGAAAACCCCTCTCTCCCGGCGTGATGTATTGGCCTCTCTCCGCCCCTGATTTCAAAGTTGGGATCCGCGTTAAATTCCAGCAGAATTGAAACGATTTTTTCGAACCCCAACGCGCTGGCTAGGACGATGGGAGCAACCAGTCCCATATTTCTAGTTTGGCTCACATTAGCGTGGCCCTCTCTGGCCAAGATGTCCACAGTTTCCGTGTGGCCGTACCGTACGGCCCATTGCAGGGCCGTCGAACCCTTATCGTTTTCAACATTTGGAAGAGCTCCCAGCTTAAGCAAAGTCCTGACCGTGTCTTCATGTCCCCATCTAGCTGCCCACAGCAGGGATGTGTCGTTCTTAGCGTTGACGTGATTCACATCGACGCCATGTTCAACAATGAAAGTCACTATCTCTGTGTAGCCGTGATATGCAGCCAAATGGAGGCAAGGAAACGTCCTTGGCCTTTGACCTTTAATCTCTATCGGCGTTTCCTGATTTAATAGTTTTAATTTATTATGTAGCGTGGGTATTTTCTCTAGCAATAATTTCAGCAGGCAAATATTATTTTGTTCAACAGCCTGATGTAAAACGTTTTTCTTCCCGCCTGAAGCGTCGAACGCCTGCATAATTAAATCGTCGTCTGCCAACTCCATGACAGCGTCCACCAGTTCGGCGCTTTTTAGCTCCATCATGTAGTGTAAAATATTTCGTCCGTTAGCCGGATCAAGTAGTGTCTTGCTGGACAGTTTGTACTTGAAGGACATTTTTTTTATTCGATTGTTAAAGGTTTCCTTTCCTCTGGGTATCGCATCTGTAAGAAGAGATAGTGATATTTATTTTCGTAGTTGAGAGCTTTGAAAATAGAATGTAAACGTTTGGCTAAAACCAAAATGATGGTCAAAATGGCAAGTAATCTAAAACCGTGAAACATTATTTTAATATTTAAGCAATAGGTCGCACAGCTTTGGGGTTCGTCCATAAATGACGTCACACTAGTAGGGGGAGGGGTTGTCCGTGATTTTGTGACGGTGTGTGATGTGGTGGAGGGGGTCAGATGAACCATTCACTCGACAGTAAAACGTGTAGCCTGTGAAATATTTGAACCATTCACTCGACAGTAAAACGCTGATGTTTGAAACATTCACTCGACAGTAAAACGCTGATGTTTGATATTTTCTTACCAGTTATTTTCTTCCACATGGTCTTGTTATGCTTGGTCAACGATGCGTGTCGCTTGTTGGAGCTGACCAAACTGTCCAGCAACTCTAGAGACTCTGGCACTCTAGTCTGGTGGTCATTCATTAGTTAATTAATCAATTAAGACTTTCTATTTTTAGTTCTGTCTGCTATTTAGGTGTACGTCTAATATTAATGTTAGAAAATTTAGATGTACAGTAACTTGTTGACACCAAAATGACAAGTGAGATATTGTACATTTTATGTGCCCAGAGTTATCTAGAAGAAATATGCGTGGCTTATTTAAGATAGGCGTGTCATAAGTTTACTGGCCAATAAAAAAAGCAAATGCCGTGTCTCACCTCCCGACTCTCCCGTAGTGCCACAAAATCTCCATCCTCAGAGGCGTCACCCAGTTGCACACTCGACCCTTCCGTCTTGGTTGCCATGGAGACGGGAAACGCCTGTCAAATGAGAGTTTAAATGTTAGTAACGCATTAACTACTTCATTTAAAAGGGTAAACTAATTTCACATTTGAGTGATTCATATTATCATATATATATATATATATATATATATATATATATATATATATATATATATATATATATATATATATATATATATATATGTGTGTGTATGTGTGTGTACAGGATAAATCTCAATTTTTCTCGGTTAGTTTGAGAATTATATGGCCTGGTGTTATCCAATGCGGTCCACAACCCACGCACCCACCCTGCTTTCGTAACTTGACGTTACACGACCTTACTAGACAGCCTTGTGGATACACCGTAGGGGCATGTTAACAGTTACGATAGATCTCAAAGGGGAAACAAATCAGTCGGAAATTCGTGCGTTGTTGTCTACACCTGACTGAGTAGACTCAGGTTACACCGATCAGGTATCAAGTTGTCCAATTTGTAAACCGGTCTTTGTGTCTTTTTTCCAGAGCATAACGTTGTACTTTAGTATAAATATAGGCATATATATATATATATATATATATATATATATATATATATATATATATATATATATATATATATATATATATATGCGTATATAGGTGCAATTATGGTTTTATGACATTTTGAAAATGTAGAACTAAAGCGATACAAGACGTCGCCGCTATACGTTAACGTGAGACAGGTGAGGCAGTTTTCATATTTAGGATCTTTTGTCTGTTAAGGTTGTGAGGATTCTTATATGGGGGTGGGGGGGGGGGGGGGCTAGCTATCCCTTCCTACACCAGTGCTTAAGGGGGAGGGGGTCCATGTGTTATTTGGAGTATGGGTGGTATAGTGCAGCGATATTTGGAAGTCGTGCACATACAGAACAAAAAGTCGATGTGACCTAACCTTTACCCCATAGTGACATAATGTAACACTAGAGCTCCCTCACACCGAAAACACCTCCATGCACCTCCCCCCCACATTACTTAATATTTCTGGGACACCTCCATGCAATCCCTTTCAAACCCCACACACGATGACAGTTTATAGCAACAAAAATAAAGACAGAGAAATTCGCTTCTGTTCCGTCACTAGTACCCAGGTAAATAAAAGAGATAAATTAATATTTTAACAAACGGTGTCAGTTTTTTTCAGGAAAGGATAGCAGATATTAATAAACAGTTTCAAATGCTATAACATTGCTCTATATCACCAAACACTGTAACAGAATAAATACAAAACACCCCACCACCCCCTTCGTTGTAGATCATACTAAGTAAGTGCTTTTGTTTTTCTTGGTTTATTTCTGATTTTAGATTGGCTGAAGAAGTCAGGTGACCTTCATATTTTTCCCTACAAAGATAAGATTTAAGAATTATTTTGTTTACAATTGTGTCGATCTTTTGGGGGCTCGCGATGACGTTTTTAGGAAGCAAGTCTGACGTTATTGTTAGCAAAATGTAAATTATATATATATATATATATATATATATATATATATATATATATATATATATAAGCAAAAATAAATAAGGTCTGCAATAATTCGATAAGCTTAGATAGATTTGATGTCAATACAAACATTCAACTTCTAACCAATTCAAAATTTAGAAAACTTTCCTAAAAAAAAAAAAAATGTGTGTCTATTTGTTAACAGACGGTAATAAATGCACATTCAAAAAAACTTACGTTAATCCCAAAAACGAGATTTTCTACACCGTGCTGCATTCTACTAGACACACAAGAGCAGGACTGTCGCAGAATAAAATAATGATACTTTAATTGTATGACAGAGGACTTCACCATATCAATCAGATGATTGGCTTGATCGATAGAAATCGATACATAGATAACAGCAGACGTGTCGTCTGTTGAAAGAAATACGCGCCATGTTGTCCATGCTTCTGTGGTTTCATTTAATGGCCTTTGTTGTTTGATGCACTTTATGGGTGGGTGGAGATATCATATCAGGGGGGGGGGGGTGAAGGAGGTTACTAATTTTGGAAATAAAACAGGTGTCATTTCAACTAAGTCATGCCACTGTACCAAGTCATGTCGCTGTACTAAGTCATGATGTCACTGTAGTAACAAGTCATCCTATTATACCAAGTCAAGTCAATGTACCAACACGACAGACATTCACGTCATTTGTGTCGCAGTTCTCCTGAGCCCAGGGGCATCTTTCATAAGGGGACATAATCACGTAAGTTACCTATTAAATAGAGTAGTCTCCCGTTGATAGCTGAGAATTCACTCAAGATAACATTTTGTAAACTTGATGACATCATCTCGATGTGATAATAGACTCATTAAAAAATTTTCATTTTGTTAAAATTTCAATTTATCCTCATCTAACCTAATTTCTTCATTTTTTTGTGCTGCACGCATCACACTTCAATAAAAATAAAATAATTACTGCTTCTCATTTTAATTGATCAACAAATGATTGCATACAATTGTTTTAAAATTCGTTGAAGTTTTCAACTCACTAATAAATAAAACGGGTGCTAAAAATAGCTATCACATGATCATTCTAAAATTGTGGAGTTACAAAGATGGTTACACTGTACAGTGTTATGTATCAAATAAAACATCATTAACCAGCTTCAATGTTCACAAATCCAACAGCAAAAGACATTGCAGGCTGATTCAAGAACAAAATCGTTTGATCTTACAATAAGATGGTGGTTCCAGGTCAGAGGTCACACCATGTTACACCCTAACCTTGACCTTCCTGGACTGACAGCCTCCCAGCCAAACCCGTCTAATGTTTACAGAGCATTGTTATACCCCCCCCCCCCCTCCAATCAGGGGTAGTTGTATACAACATAAAACACAAACTTCCTATTCAGCAGTACTTTACAGTGTGGAGTCAACATCTTCATAAACAACAGGGGAAACAGCAGTTTGGTAAATATCAACAACATTGAATTATCAGATTTTCAACAAGGCTTATCAACAAGATTCAACAGTTAAAACATTAGTGACATGAAAAGTTGTATCAGGTACATTTCAAAAGTAACTTTCATCATTATTACAGCTAAGGAATTATTTTTACAATATTTTCCCTTTTAATAAGTTTTTATAATGCATCATTTTTCCCCCAGGAATTTTAGTTTTTTAATTTTTAGGTTTAATTAACAAAGATTTATTCAATGTACTCTGCCATTTAAAATATCTCACATGCAAAGATGAAAGAGTATTTGTTTCCTGAAATTTGTTCAAAAATTTAAAAAATCTATAAATATTAAGAAGTTTTTGGTTTGTTTCCTAAAGTTTGTTCCATATTTTTTAACATGTTAAAAATATCATCAACATTGGCTTTCAAGCTCAAGTACTGCTCCATCATCTTGGTGTCTGTGGACGCCATCTTGGACTTAAGCTCCTCCAGGGCTTCCTTCTCCCCCTCCACCTGCGTCACGTCTGCCTCGGTCACTGACTTCACCTTGGGTACCTCAATGTACCAGCGCTGAATGTCATTCTCCTTGTCAGAGGGACAGATGTAGCTGTAACAACACATTTAACTTTAGACGTAGCTGAAACAACACATTTAACTTTAGATGTAGCTGAAACAACACATTTAACTTTAGATGTAGCTGAAACAACACATTTAACTTTAGATGTAGCTGTAACAACACATTTAACTTTAGATGTAGCTGAAACAACACATTTAACTTTAGATGTAGCTGTAACAACACATTTAACTTTAGATGTAGCTGTAACAACACATTTAACTTTAGATGTAGCTGAAACAACACATTTTACTTTAGATGTAGCTGAAACAACACATTTAACTTTAGATGTAGCTGTAACAACACATTTAACTTTAGATTAACTTTAGATGTAGCTGAAACAACACATTTAACTTTAGATGTAGCTGAAACAACACATTTAACTTTAGATGTAGCTGAAACAACACATTTAACTTTAGATGTAGCTGTAACAACACATTTAACTTTAGATGTAGCTGTAACAACACATTTAACTTTAGATGTAGCTGAAACAACACATTTAACTTTAGATGTAGCTGAAACAACACATTTAACTTTAGATGTAGCTGTAACAACACATTTAACTTTAGATGTAGCTGAAACAACACATTTAACTTTAGATGTAGCTGTAACAACACATTTAACTTTAGATGTAGCTATAATAAGACATTTAAATTTCATTTACAAAATATTCTTTATAATATATTGATATTTTATCAATAATTCATAAAATGTGCAGTTAGCAAAAATAAAGTTACCCTTTAACAACCTTGACCTTACTAAACATGGGAAAGGTCAAAGGTAAACTTTTCTCAACATCAACACCAAGTTGGACAGACTCAATTCTCCAGGCCTGACGTTGTTTCTGTAGGGAAAAATATTTGAGAATTAGAGGTTGCTATGGTCACAAATATATGAGAATTAGAGGTTTCTACAAACACTTGAATAAACAATCAGAAATGAAAGTGGCTGAATAAATCTGGTCACCTGTTCATATTTTTGGCTTAAGTTAAAAAAATTGAACACTTGAAATGGCAAAGTGACCTCGGTCATGCTGTGTCAAGAGTTAGAGACTTCTATTGTCAATTATTTTTTTTTACAATGTTGTTTCGTCATACACTGTACCTCACAGATCATTGAAATGTTGGTCATACTCTCATACTATCTACCACAGAAAGCATAAGTTTTGCACTGTATGTCAGAAAACAAAACAACTTAATGTCTCTTGTAAGATTTGAATTTAACGAAACACATTTTTGGACGTACCCTAAGGATTTCTTGGTAGGAGTCATTCATCATGGCAATCAGCAGATTCAGTAAAACAATGGTGGCCAAGATCATGTAGATAACATACAGTATCTGTTGATAGAATATAAACAGTTAATCATGTAGATCACATACAGTATCTGTTGATAGAATATAAACAGTTAATAATGTAGATCACATACAGATTCTGTTGATAGGATTATAATCAGTTTATTATGTAGATTACATACAGTATATGTTGTTAGATTATAAACATTTAATCATGTAGATCATATACAGTATCTGTTGATAAAATTAATCAGTTTATTATGTAGATTACATACAGTATACATAGATTATAAACAGTTTATTATGTAGATCATATACAGTATCTGTTGATAGGATTATAATCAGTTTATTATATAGATCACATAAAGTATCTGAAAGAGTAAACCTTTATAACAAACAACATATTACATACATCAAACCGAAAGTCTAATCACTCAGTCTATAGTGAATTTCTATTTGATCCTCATCAAATACTTGTACAAGCTTACCTTGAGAAACAATGAACTTCTGTTAACACTAGTGAAACCATTCTCAACATCATCAGTCTCAAAAATGTAATCCATCCCAATGAGCATGTTGAACATGATGAAGACAGTGTAGATTGGGTTGGGATACAGGACAGCGATGTTGGCTGAAACTACACACACAAAGTGTGTCATTACATATTTAGTTGGTTAAGGTTGAAACTACACACACAAAGTGTGTCATTACATATTTAGTTGGTTAAGGCTGAAACTACACACACAAAGTGTGTCATTACATATTTAGTTGGTTAAGGTTGAAACTACACACACAAAGTGTGTCATTACATATTTAGTTGGCTGAGGTAGAAACTACACACACAAAGTGTGTCATTACATATTTAGTTGGTTAAGGTTGAAACTACACACACAAAGTGTGTCATTACATATTTAGTTGGTTAAGGTTGAAACTACACACACAAAGTGTGTCATTACATATTTAGTTGGTTAAGGTTGAAACTACACACACAAAGTGTGTCATTACATATTTAGTTGGTTAAGGTTGAAACTACACACACAAAGTGTGTCATTACATATTTAGTTGGTTAAGGTTGAAACTATACCCACACAAAATATTGATAATATATGAGTTTTTTCCCTTAATTTTTCAATTGTGATACAATGAGAAGAAAGAAAAAGGTTCTTAAAGGAAACTAATTAATTGATCAGTTTTAAAATTAATTAAAAAAAATTAACAAATAGTAATGAGAAAGACTTTGGTTAGGCTTACCTTGAAAGAGGGCATGGAAGGCAAATGAGAAAGCCAGCAGAACAAAGAGGTAGATAAACAAAAATTTGAACACATCTCTGATAATCATGATTTGAATCATTCGCCAAAAGTAGTTGATAACTTTAAATCCTCTGGTGAAAGCTATGGTGTACATCCAACCTAAGAAACAACATTATTACAATTATTTGAGTCCTGAAGTTGCTAAAACAAACGCAAACATTTGACAGTTTTAACAAATAGCCTAAAGTCTAGTCATGTGACTTTTTATGTTGTTACATATATTTCACTGTGAAATTCAAAAGCTTGGAACTTGCACACAAAATTTTATTTCAGACAACAGCTAGAGATAATAGTGAGATGCCTCATTCAAGTACAAGCAATTCACAATTTTGTTTTCAACACTATAGCATTGCTTGAATAACTAGTGATCTTAGTTTAATCAGAGAATTATTTCATTTTCTGCACAAGTATCAGTATTTTAGTAGAAAGTGGACAATATTTTATTCAACATTTGATTACTGTCATACAAGAAAAACAACACTCCTACACACAGTGCTAAAACTAGAAACGTAAACAACACACCTACACACAGTGCTAAAACTAGAAACGTAAACAACACACCTACACACAGTGCTAAAACTAGAAATGTAAACAACAAACCTACACACAGTGCTAAAACTAGAAACGTAAACAACACACCTACACACAGTGCTAAAACTAGACATGTAAACAACAAACCTATACACAGTGCTAAAACTAGAAATGTAAACAACACACATATACACAGTGCTAAAACTAGAAATGTAAACAACACACCTATACACAGTGCTAAAACTAGAAATGTAAACAACAAACCTATACACAGTGCTAAAACTAGAAATGTAAACAACAAACCTATACACAGTGCTAAACTAGAAATGTAAACAACACACCTATACACAGTGCTAAAACTAGACATGTAAACAACACACCTATACACAGTGCTAAAACTAGACATGTAAACAACAAACCTATACACAGTGCTAAAACTAGAAATGTAAACAACACCTATACACAGTGCTAAACTAGAAATGTAAACAACAAACCTATACACAGTGCTAAAACTAGAAATGTAAACACAACACACCTATACACAGTGCTAAAACTAGACATGTAAACAACAAACCTATACACAGTGCTAAAACTAGACATGTAAACAACACACAGTGGTAAAACTAGAAATGTAAACAACAAACCTATACACAGTGCTAAACTAGAAATGTAAACAACACACCTATACACAGTGCTAAACTAGAAATGTAAACAACAAACCTATACACAGTGCTAAAACTAAAAATGTAAACAACACACATATACACGGTGCTAAACTAGAAATGTAAACAACAAACCTATACACAGTGCTAAAACTAGAAATGTAAACAACACACCTATACACAGTGCTAAACTAGAAATGTAAACAACAAACCTATACACAGTGCTAAAACTAGAAATGTAAACAACACACCTATACACAGTGCTAAAACTAGATATGTAAACAACTAACCTATACACAGTGCTAAACTAGAAATGTAAACAACACACCTATACACAGTGCTAAAACTAGAAATGTAAACAACAAACCTATACACAGTGCTAAACTAGAAATGTAAACAACACACCTATACACAGTGCTAAAACTAGACATGTAAACAACACACCTATACACAGTGCTAAAACTAGACATGTAAACAACAAACCTATACACAGTGCTAAAACTAGAAATGTAAACAACACCTATACACAGTGCTAAACTAGAAATGTAAACAACAAACCTATACACAGTGCTAAAACTAGAAATGTAAACACAACACACCTATACACAGTGCTAAAACTAGACATGTAAACAACAAACCTATACACAGTGCTAAAACTAGACATGTAAACAACACACAGTGGTAAAACTAGAAATGTAAACAACAAACCTATACACAGTGCTAAACTAGAAATGTAAACAACACACCTATACACAGTGCTAAACTAGAAATGTAAACAACAAACCTATACACAGTGCTAAAACTAGAAATGTAAACAACACACATATACACAGTGCTAAACTAGAAATGTAAACAACAAACCTATACACAGTGCTAAAACTAGAAATGTAAACAACACACCTATACACAGTGCTAAACTAGAAATGTAAACAACAAACCTATACACAGTGCTAAAACTAGAAATGTAAACAACACACCTATACACAGTGCTAAAACTAGATATGTAAACAACTAACCTATACACAGTGCTAAACTAGAAATGTAAACAACAAACCTATACTATACACAGTGCTAAACTAGACATGTAAACAACAAACCTATACACAATGCTAAACTAGAAATGTAAACAACAAACCTATACACAATGCTAAACTAGAAATGTAAACAACAAACCTACACACAGTGCTAAACTAGAAATGTAAACAACACACCTATACACAGTGCTAAAACTAGAAATGTAAACAACAAACCTATACACAGTGCTATGGCCAGGAAATAATCCATGTAGGCATAGTCCACGGCATACGTTACAATCCATATGATGACAAATATGGAGTATATGAGGCCAACAATTAAAGACAAAAATGTGGTCAGTATGGTCAAGACTCCTTTCTGGGACAACTTTGACCTACAAATAAAAGTGGTGTCAGCCTCATAAGATCACTTAAATCTTATTAGTACTTAATTAGTATACCCTCATTATTCTGTGTCTTTTTTTTTTTATAAATCTATTAAAGACTCCATTTTTAAATCTGTTACTGACAATGTGCCTACTTAACCATTATTACTGATATAAAATAAAGTTTATTATTATAATTATTCTAATACCTAACAGACAACTCCCCCATACAACTTGACCATATGTCTTTACCTAACAGACAACTCCCCCATACAACACAACTTGACCATATGATATGCGTTGTAGAAGACGAAGAAGGCAGGTTCTAGTGGCACAATGATGTAGGTCACCAGTGTGGGGCCGTCGTTGGTCCTCTCTCCGGGGCTAGTCCTGCTGTTGTACAGGAGGGTCAGTCCTGACCAGCTGAAAATATACAGAGGGTCAGTCCTGGCTAACTGGAGACAGGGGGTCAGTCCTGGCTAACTGGAGACAGAGGGTCAGTCCTGGCTAACTGGAGACAGAGGGTCAATCCTGGCTAACTGGAGACAGAGGGTCAATCCTGGCTAACTGGAGACAGGGGGTCAGTCCTGGCTAACTGGAGACAGAGGGTCAGTCCTGGATAACTGGAGACAGAGTATGGCTAACTGGAGACAGAGGGTCAATCCTGGCTAACTGGAGACAGAGGGTCAGTCCTGGCTAACTAGAGACAGAGGGTCAGTCTTGGCTAACTGGAGACAGAGTATGGCTAACTGGAGACAGAGGGTCAATCCTGGCTAACTGGAGACAGAGTATGGCTAACCGGAGACAGAGGGTCAGTCCTGGCTAACTGGAGACAGGGGGTCAATCCTGGCTAACTGGAGACAGGGGGTCAGTCCTATCTAACAGGAAAAGTTTACAAATTTATCAAGATAACAAATCTACTTTAAAAATACCATGTTCTTTGAACATTTGATTAATAGTTTTAAAAAGAATTCCACAATGTATAAGCAATGATTTGTATGTGTAGCTACCTGAAGATACTCATGTAGATAATGTGGACGATCATCACTATAGCATAGGCCCAGGCAGCTACTGAGCTGTAGGCTGTCTCTATGTCACTGAAGGGCTGGAAAATTTAGAACAAGAGTTAGTGGGGTGGGGAATTTATAGTTGGTGGGGTGGGGAATTTATAGTTGGTGGGGTGGGGAATTTATAGTTGGTGGGGTGGGGAATTTATAGTTGGGGGGGGGGGGAATTTATAGTTTTTGGGGGGGGGGGGGGGCGGGGGGAATTTATAGTTGGTGGGGTGGGGAATTATAGTTAGTGGGGTGGGGGGAATTTACACAACTAGTGGGGTGGGGAATTTATAGTGGGGGGGGGGAATTTATAGTTGGTGGGGTGGGGAATTATAGTTAGTGGGGTGGGGGGAATTTACACAACAGTTAGTGGGGTGGGGAATTAATACAACATATTCTCACTGAAGTAAGTAAACACAGCATTGTTTTTAAACTGAACTAAAAAACTAAGCTAATGCTATTTTAATCAATTATTTACCTGAAGGTCAAGAACCTTAGCAGCATTTTCTGGCAAGTCAGAACCAGTGGCCAGGAGCCACTCTAAACATGAAGGTCTAGGAGAAACTGACCCTTGGTTCCACATACTGCCCAGCGTCCCATTTGTCCTGGGTGTAATGTTAGTGATGTCGTAGCGCAGATTTTTGCCAACCTACATGAACAGTAATTTTGTGTTAGAAATTGTTTTTACATCAAAAAGGTTTGTAATAACAAGCTTCATAGATGACTAAAGAGAAGAAAATAAAAAGATTTTCTTTAAATATACAATAATTCATAACTATAAACAAAAGTGTGGGTTGCTTATAAAACTTAAGTAACAGTATTAAATAGAGAATTCAGTGACTCATGCTTTTTATATGTTTATTTAAATAGTTGTGCATTAATATTTTAAAAAGAAAAACATTTTAATTTTTTTGTGCACACATAAGAACTTGTCATTATAAATGTTTTTTTTATTAAATACTTTTTAAATTATAATAAAGTTGAATCACTAAACTGAAAGCCATTGCATGCCAAATGAAAGCACAAATGTGTGTATAATAGGGCAAAAAATATTAGCAGGCTTCTTTATATAGCAATCTTTTATTATTTAAAAAAAAGGTATCCTTTATCTAATTATGTCAAAGTCTATGTCACATTTTATTGACACCAGATCTTGACCTACATGTCAAGTTTGAAATTTTGGAAATAAATTAGTTTGCTAGAAGTTTAGGAAATTTGCTTTCAAATTTAGACCCATGACAGACAAAGATGAAAGAATGACAGACAGAGATGAAAGAATGACAGACAGAGATGAAAGAATGACTGACAGAGATAAAAGAATGACAGACAGAGATGAAAGAATGACAGAGATAAAAGAATGACAGAGATAAAAGAATGACAGAGATGAAAGAATGACAGACAGAGATAAAAGAATGACAGACAGAGATAAAAGAATGACAGACAGAGATAAAAGAATGACAGACAGAGATAAAAGAATGACAGACAGATAAAAGAATGACAGACAGAGATAAAAGAATGACAGAGATAAAAGAATGACAGACAGAGATGAAAGAATGACAGACAGAGATGAAAGAATGACAGACAGAGATGAAATAATGACAGACAGAAGAATCAAGCTAAATAAAAGGTTGTAAAACCAGGAAAGTTGTGGGCATTCAACAACTGGGCATAAACCCACAGACTGACCTTAAAGACCAGCACGTCCTCCATGGTGACCAGTAAGAGAATGACATCACTGGCCCCAACCTTACAGGCGAAGTCCAGGACAGTCAGATCCTCCTTGTTGGGCCTCTCAGTGACCAGGGTTAAGATAGCTCTTCGTTTGATGTACAGGGACGACTGGAGCTCTTTGTTGTCTCCTAGCTTTAGGTTCTTCACTGCGCCGTACCACTGTAAAATTAATGTACTACTGTAACATCAACATAGTCAGATTAATGGACTACTGCAACCACAACATACAGTCAGATTAATGGACTATTAACAAACAGCTGAAGATAAAGAAATAGCAGGACAAGACAGCTGACCTGTGGTGTCCTGTCAATAGCAGGACAACAAAGGTACTAGAATCATGAGCTGACCTGTGGTGCCCTGTCCAGTATAGCTTGAATGATCTCCAGATAACGTGAGCTGTGTAGTGGGTCAGTCACGGTCAGGCTGGTCAGTATGTGTAGCACTGTGTTCCCCTTGTGGTCAGCCAATGAGATATCCGCACCAAACAAAATCAGACGTTTGACACTTGCCAAAAAACCTTCTCTGAATTTCATAAAATTATTGTATCATTAGGTACAGAGAGATGGATATCAATGACATAAAATAATTAAATTAGGAATTTATAATAAATTGCGTCTATTAATACAATACAACATCTGCTGTACAATTGACTTCTAAAAACATCTGCGGAACATTTGACCCCTAACCTGGCAGCTAAGTGCAAGCAGGTCTGCATCTTTTTGTTCTGGTGATTGATGTCACAGTCCCTCTTCATGGCGTCATAAATGTCCAGCATCATGTCCAGAACTTCTGGCTCTCCTGGTCTGAAGTTTTAAAATTTTGTTTTACAAATCACAAACTTTTTGAAAAAAAAAAACTTGTTTCAACAAGTTTGTGCATTGTAAAACAAAATTTTTGAAACAGTTGCAGAAAGAAAATTATTCACAAACTAGTATTTTTAATTGCACATCACTAAAAGAATGTGCTTCCATCAACAGCAGTTTCCATGGCAACAAGGATAAACAAAAGATTGAGTGTCAAAACTTACCTGACAGCCTCATGAAGAGCAATGTTGCCGTCTACATCTGCGTCCTTAAAGCGCACAAATCTAAACTCCCAGAGAACCTCTGGCCGAGCAAATTTTGCCGCGATGTGTAATGGGTTGTTTCCAAGACTGTTGAGATAATACAACAGATGACAGAGTTTAAAGATTGGCTACAGACAGGTACAAAAACTGGTTAACTGAACAACAAGGGACACAGTTTAATGTACAAAAACTGGTTTATTTAACAACAGGGGACACAGTTTAATGTACAAAAAAACTGGTTAACTGCAAAACTGCAACGCTATGCCATATAGGTTAACAACACATGGCACAGTTTAATGTACAAAATTTTTAACTCCAGACACATAGGTGAATTAAATGACAGAGACAACAGAGTGGGAGAGATGACAACCTTAATTTAGTGCTTAGACAGCTGCTGAAATATGATCTGATAACAACTAGAACTTTTAAACAAGTGATCTGATTATTTTTAAACATTTCAAAAATGTTTCTAAATTAAAATTTTCTACACCAAAAACATTGCCTCATATCGTCTAATAAAATTCTAAAACAAAAGACTCATAACAAAAATATTTTCTACTCCAAAAGATTGCCTCACTTGTCAGAAATGTTGAGACACTCCCAGGGATGTGTCTTGATGATGTAATCCATAAGCTTTGACACAGTTTGAGGCTGAATATGTTTGGAGTAGGCCGCAACATGTAGGGCTGTTTCACCTACACACAAACATGATATATTACAACAGTTTTAATAGTGACCCCAGTTGTCTTAATTATTTCTTGGCTAATTATGCTCTCACAATAATATTTTAGGGTATCAGTTTTGTAGGATTTGTTTGCGATTGAAATTATTTAACTAATTAGGCAGGTCATTGAACATGCTTGAATCAGTTACCCTGAGAATTTCTGATATTAGCCATTGCTTTGTACTGTATGAGCTCCATAATGACCTCGTGATGACCTTTCATACAAGCTTCATGTAGGGCTGTGTTCCCGTAGTTGTTTGTGCTGTCAATGTTTACCTGGGTGCGGATGGATCAGAACATAAAATAGAGATTAAAAGTCAGGTGAGATGGGCATAGATAGGAGATTAAAAGGGCAGGCGTGATGTCATGATAAGATTTTGAACCTAAACTCTCAAATTTCAAGTTTTGAAAAATACATTTCTTGATGGAATTAAAAAAGTATTAGTTAACTAAAACATCTGAGATAATTATTACCAACTGATGAAATTAACAAAAGGTTATTTAACTAAAACATCTGAGATAATCATTAACAACTGATGAAATTAACAAAAGGTTATTTAACTAAAACATCTGAGATAATTATTACCAATTGATGAAACTGTTTAATAACAGCTGGCTTATTGCTGATGGCAGCAAAATGCAAAAAATTATTCCCATTTTCATCTGCAGAATTAGCATCAATCTGAAGAATAGAAAAAACTACTTTAGACAATTTGTTAATCAAGTAAATCATGAACTAAACTTTTGAAACAATTAACAAAACTTGATCTGTTTTAACTAAACATTTCTACATCCATGAGCTCAAATCTTAAACCTCAAGCTGTTACATTGAGCTCAAATCTTAAAACACAAGCTGTTACCTTGAGCTCAAACAATAATTTCATCCTGTCTGTCTTACCTTGAGCTCAAACAATAATTTCATTCTGTCTTACCTTGAGCTCAAACAATAATTTCATTCTGTCTTACCTTAAGCTCAAACAATAATTTCATCCTGTCTTACCTTGAGCTCAAACAATAATTTCATCCTGTCTGTCTTACCTTGAGCTCAAACAATAATTTCATTCTGTCTTACCTTGAGCTCAAACAATAATTTCATTCTGTCTTACCTTGAGCTCAAACAATAATTTCATCCTGTCTTACCTTGAGCTCAAACAATAATTTCATCCTGTCTTACCTTGAGCTCAAACAATAATTTCATCCTGTCTGTCTTACCTTGAGCTCAAACAATAATTTCATTCTGTCTTACCTTGAGCTCAAACAATAATTTCATCCTGTCTTACCTTGAGCTCAAACAATAATTTCATCCTGTCTGTCTTACCTTGAGCTCAAACAATAATTTCATTCTGTCTTACCTTGAGCTCAAACAATAATTTCATTCTGTCTTACCTTGAGCTCAAACAATAATTTCATCCTGTCTTACCTTGAGCTCAAACAATAATTTCATCCTGTCTTACCTTGAGCTCAAACAATAATTTCATCCTGTCTGTCTTACCTTGAGCTCAAACAATAATTTCATTCTGTCTTACCTTGAGCTCAAACAATAATTTCATCCTGTCTTACCTTGAGCTCAAACAATAATTTCATTCTGTCTTACCTTGAGCTCAAACAATAATTTCATTCTGTCTTACCTTGAGCTCAAACAATAATTTCATCCTGTCTTACCTTGAGCTCAAACAATAATTTCATTCTGTCTTACCTTGAGCTCAAACAATAATTTCATTCTGTCTTACCTTGAGCTCAAACAATAATTTCATTCTGTCTTACCTTGAGCTCAAACAATAATTTCATCCTGTCTTACCTTGAGCTCAAACAATAATTTCATCCTGTCTTACCTTGAGCTCAAACAATAATTTCATCCTGTCTGTCTTACCTTGAGCTCAAACAATAATTTCATTCTGTCTTACCTTGAGCTCAAACAATAATTTCATCCTGTCTTACCTTGAGCTCAAACAATAATTTCATTCTGTCTTACCTTGAGCTCAAACAATAATTTCATCCTGTCTTACCTTGAGCTCAAACAATAATTTCATCCTGTCTTACCTTGAGCTCAAACAATAATTTCATCCTGTCTTACCTTGAGCTCAAACAATAATTTCATCCTGTCTGTGTTGCCAGCTGTAGCTGCCAGGTAGAGCAGAGAATTGACGCCAGATAAAGAATTTCTCCGGCCAAAATCAACGTCATCTGAAAGTAAGAAAAGAATCACTTTTTAAATATTTTTTTGAAAATGTAGGCCTGTCAACCAATCCCTTTGATGTATGACTAACTTACTGTCAACCAGTCCCTTTTGCTCCAGTGTTCGCTGATGTATGACCAGTAACTTTAAGATGGTGTCGCTTTAATGTATGACTAAAGTACTATCAACCAGTCCCTTTGATGTATGACTAACTTACTGTCAACCAGTCCCTTTTGCTCCAGTGTTCGCTGATGTATGACCAGTAACTTTAAGATGGTGTCGTTGTCGTTGCTGACAGCGTACGTCCAAACATCTTCTTCCATCAGGTTCTTATGGTTGACATTCGCCCCCAACTGCAGCTGATAGAAAATTGACACTTGAAATTGACATTTGAAATTGACATTTGAACTTACAAATAGGTCTTATTCTATTTGTGATTCTATACTTACAGGTTTCTACTTTATAAGAGCTTGAAGATAGGTAATTTTAGGAATCTTTCATAATTGCAAAATGATGGATAGGCTTACTAGCTTTAAAAGTGAATAGCTCAAACATGTTTTCTTGTTTAACATGTTAAGAAACTAGACATATAGCAGTAATTGTCAGTTCCATAAATGTAATTTGTAAAATTTTTTTTTAACTAACCAGAGTCTGTAAGGCTTTAGGCTGTCCATGTTTAGCAGTTAAAAATAAAGCTTATACTAACCAGTGTCTGTAAGGCTTTAGGCTGTCCATGTTTAGCAGTTAAAAATAAAGCTTACACTAACCAAGGTCTGTAAGGCTTTAGGCTGTCCATGTATAGCAGTTAAATTTTTTTTATACTAACCAGAGTCTTTAAGGCTTTAGGCTGTCCATGTTTAGCAGTTAAAAATAAAGCTTATACTAACCAGTGTCTGTAAGGCTTTAGGCTGTCCATGTTTAGCAGTTAAAAGTAGGGCTGTATCACCCCGCTCATCTGCTGCATCTATTTCTGCACCGCTGGCCACAAGAATCTGTTCAGATGTTTTTACATGTTTACTTCATACTTGCAGACAATCATCATTCATGAAATTAAAGTAGACCTATAATTCAGGGCATACTCACAATAAATTTTATATGAAAATTAAAAATGTGTTTTATTTAAGTATTAAGTATAGATATAGTCCTGTACAGGCTGTAGTAAATAGTGATTATGCAGTGAAATCCACATAGGCCTATAAATAGTATTACTAGATCGAGTAGATCTAACTATTAATTCATTATACTAGTTACTAGATCTAGATCTACTATTTTATTTTAGATCTAAAATCTAGATAACTAGATCTAGATAATATTAGATTTGTAGATATTAGATTCTAGACCAGAATTAATTAGAGATCTACTAGATATCTAGAATCTAGTATATTAAATCTTAGTCTTTAGTACTCTTTAGTAGATATCTCAACTCAATCTGTCTTCTAGACTAGATCTAGATTTCTAGATAGTAAAATAAGTAATAGACGGCTTTATAGATCCTAACTTTAAAAAAATAAATAAAATATGCAAGCCTGACGATAGTCATTTGACCAGGACAGGTTATATTTTTGCCGCCAATTATTTTTAACTTAGACTAGTCTCAAAATTGCGTTTTATGACCTAAAAATGCCAGAAAGCACACGAAGCATGCGTACTGGGTGAATTAATTGGAATACATTTTGTTGAATAACATAATTTTTAAATACGAAAATATTGCAATACTATCTATACTAGATTTGGTAATACAGAAGTAGATTCATATAATGGAAAACGTGTTGAATGGCCCTAACTAAATGATGACAAGACATAATATCCTCTCAGAAAAAAAATATTTCTAGATCTACATTTAATGTGAGGCTGCTTACACGCGTGGGACACAACAAATATTTATAGATCTAGGTTTTCCTCATTTTTGTTCAATCATGGCATGGAAAGGTGGTAGAGCACACGACTGGTAATTCAAAATTCCCAAAATAAGTATTCCTTCCCCCCCCCCCCCTTTGAAGTCTGTTGTCCGGCTTCTCTTACCCCCTCCTCCCTCCTCACAAAGACATACAAACACACTGCCCCCCCCCCCCCTCCGGATTTATATATGGAAGCCGGCAGTATAAGCATGTTGTTATTATCACATTTGGTCAAACTTCTACCTACCTCAATTATTTTAGAAAATCCCTCTCTCCCTGCGTGGTGTATTGGCCTCTCCCCTCCTCTGATGGCAAAATTTGGATCTGCCTTAAACTCTAACAAAATCGGCACTATGTCTACAAATCCTAAAGCGCAGGCCAAAACAATGGGAGCGACTAATCCAAGCTTTCTAGTTTGGCTCACATTTGCATGGCCTTCCCTGGCCAGTATATCAACAGTTTCCGTGTGCCCGTAGCGCACCGCCCAGTACAAAGCCGTAGAACCTTTGTCGTTCTCCACACTCGGGAGAGCTCCTAGTTTCAACAAAGCTCGAACCGTCTCTCTGTGCCCCCAACGTGAAGCCCATAGCAAAGACGTGTCGTTTTTAGCATTAACATGATTCACATCAACTCCTTGTGCAATAATATAATCTACTATTTCAGTGAACCCGTAATAAGCTGCCAAGTGTAAACAGGGGAACGTCCTTGGCCTTTGACCTATAATCTCCACTGGTGTTTCCTGATTTAGCAATGCCAAACGTTTTTGAACCGTTGAAATTTTCCCCAAAAGAGTTTTCAAAAGGCCCATATTATTTTGTTCGACAACTTGATGCAAAACATTTTTCTTGCCAACAATATTCGAGACGTCCACTTCAAACGCCTGCTGTATCAAGTCCTCGTCTGCGTGCTCAAGGACAGCGTTAACGAGGTCAGTGCTCTTTAGCTCCACGGCCAAATGTAAAATATTTTGGCTGTTGACTGGATCCAACAAAGCTTTACTGAACAGTTTGTTGCTGATGGAGATTTTTGTGATCGCGGCCTTAAAGGCAGCCACGCCACTGGAGATGGCATCTGTGAAAGATGGATAAAATATATTTTAGGTATTCGGTTATTTTGTACGATGGACTTTCAATCAACATTACTTATATCAACATTTAGAGTCATTAAACAAGAAGTCAGTTACCTGTTAACTCCGCCCACAAAACTTCTTTCCCGATGTGTGTACGTTTTCTTGCTATGCCAGATTGGATCCGCTTGGATGCTGACGTTGGTCTGTTGCCTTCCTTGGAATTTTCTAGAATTTCGTTCAGTAGCTTGGCTGGTATCTCGAGGGTCTCGGGGACTCGTGCCTAGGGGGACGAGAAAATAGAGTCAGGCAGGTGTAGGGCGTGTGACAGATATCTTGCAGATATCATAGAGACATCCCACAGTGGGCGTAGCAACACTTATGCTGTGTAGATGTTATGTTGAAGGCTCGCAGACCTTGTAGGACCCTAAACTTAGATATTCTACCTTACCCGTTCTGTAACCACCCCCCTCCCCCCCCCCCCCCAGTGTTGTTCTTCCTCTACTACAAATTACTCCATTTCCCCTAAAGACATTACCCCCCCCCCCCCCCTTAAAGACATTACCTGTCTACTTTCTCTGAGTGCCACAAAGTCTCCGTCTTCTGACGCGTCTCCCGCTTTGGATGTCATTGCTGATGTGAAAAAATGACAGTGGCATCATATATTAGTGTCAGAGAAAACAGTCCATTTTAAAATATGATAGTGGCATCATATATTAGTGTCAGAGAAAACAGACCATTTAAAAATATGACAGTGGCATCATATATTAGTGTCAGAGAAAACAGACCATTTAAAAATATGACAGTGGCATCATATATTAGTGTCAGAGAAAACAGACCATTTAAAAATATGACAGTGGCATCATATATTAGTGTCAGAGAAAACAGACCATTTTTAAAAATTACTGTGGCATCATAAAATATTAGTTTTAGAGAAAACAGTCCATTTTAAAATATGCGAGTTGCAAATTAAAATCTTTTTTCAATTTGCCCTAATAGCCGACATTCCTTGCGTTTGTTTTTTAAATAGTTTTTTCTCCCAAAGTTTTGACATAATTTGTATTTCAAAATGTTTTTAAAAGACGTTTATTCACTTACCCGCTTTGTGGATAGAAAGTCTGTCACTCAGTACAATTATAAATTATGAATGTTACAACACGTGTGTTTGCATGTTATAATTAGTAGTCCAATTAATTAAGCCACAATAGGTGCCAAGACAAGCCGCGCTAAAATGGTAACATAAAATGTAACATTGGATCCCACGCGTGCATTAGTGTAGACTTAGTTTTTACATTCTTCAATTCACGAGCGTATAATATTAGCTATTATGTTGGTTATTTTTAGAACCTTGGTCATGATTTGCACCATATTATAAACTATTTTTTCTGTGTCAATAGTGCGTGGCAGCAACGTTCAATGCCACTTCAAACAGGTTTATTCAGGCTGTCGTGTATTTTGTCAACTCGGTTGACTTGGGACCCCGAGGCTATGAACATTGTATGGAAGTGTTCGTGTGTATGTGTGTATGTGCGTGTGTATGTGCGTGTGTATATGTGTATGTGCGTCCGTGCGTGTGAGTATGTGTAGCGCCCTGTACATTGAACTCCCGCGTTTTTCTTCCATCTCGTGCAAGTAAAGGGAAATCACGCAAACCTTTCAATAAAACAAAAGGAAGTTGAGTTGTCCCTACAATGATTGGTGTTTAGAGCCAGTATTGACATGCGCACTTAAAGTGTGTGACGTATGGGCTGGTGGTCACACAACAGTTGCTATGGCCGTTGGTGAAACTTTTCAATCGCGGACCAGCTGTGGGAGAAAGTTGTGGACCGTGGACCAGCCGTGGGAGAAAGTTGTGGACCAGCCGTGGGAGAAAGTTGTGGACCGTGGACCAGCCGTGGGAGAAAGTTGTGGACCGTGGACCAGCCGTGGGAGAAAGTTGTGGACCGTGGACCAGCCGTGGGAGAAAGTTGTGGACCAGCCGTGGGAGAAAGTTGTGGACCAGCCGTGGGTGAAAGTTGTGGACCAGCCGTGGGAGAAAGTTGTGGACGAGCCGAGGGAGAAAGTTGTGGACCGTGGACCAGCCGTGGGAGAAAGTTGTGGACCGTGGACCAGCCGTGGGAGAAAGTTGTGGACCGTGGACCAGCCGTGGGAGAAAGTTGTGGACCAGCCGTGGGTGAAAGTTGTGGACCAGCCGTGGGAGAAAGTTGTGGACCAGCCGTGGGAGAAAGTTGTGGACCAGCCGGGGGAGAAAGTTGTGGACCAGCCGTGGGAGAAAGTTATGGACCGTGGACCAGCCGTGGGAGAAAGTTGTGGACCGTGGACCAGCCGTGGGAGAAAGTTGTGGACCGTGGACCAGCCGTGGGAGAAAGTTGTGGACCGTGGACCAGCCGTGGGAGAAAGTTGTGGACCAGCCGTGGGAGAAAGTTGTGGACCAGCCGTGGGTGAAAGTTGTGGACCAGCCGTGGGAGAAAGTTGTGGACGAGCCGAGGGAGAAAGTTGTGGACCGTGGACCAGCCGTGGGAGAAAGTTGTGGACCAGCCGTGGGAGAAAGTTGTGGACCAGCCGTGGGAGAAAGTTGTGGACCAGCCGTGGGAGAAAGTTGTGGACCGTGGACCAGCCGTGGGAGAAAGTTGTGGACCAGCCGTGGGAGAAAGTTGTGGACCAGCCGTGGGTGAAAGTTGTGGACCGTGGACCAGCCGTGGGAGAAAGTTGTGGACCGTGGACCAGCCGTGGGAGAAAGTTGTGGACCATGGACCAGCCGTGGGAGAAAGTTGTGGACCGTGGACCAGCCGTGGGAGAAAGTTGTGGACCGTGGACCAGCCGTGGGAGAAAGTTGTGGACCAGCCGTAGGAGAAAGTTGTGGACCGTGGACCAGCCGTGGGAGAAAGTTGTGGACCGTGGACCAGCCGTGGGAGAAAGTTGTGGACCGTGGACCAGCCGTGGGAGAAAGTTGTGGACCAGCCGTGGGAGAAAGTTGTGGACCAGCCGTGGGTGAAAGTTGTGGACCGTGGACCAGCCGTGGGAGAAAGTTGTGGACCGTGGACCAGCCGTGGGAGAAAGTTGTGGACCATGGACCAGCCGTGGGAGAAAGTTGTGGACCGTGGACCAGCCGTGGGAGAAAGTTGTGGACCGTGGACCAGCCGTGGGAGAAAGTTGTGGACCAGCCGTGGGAGAAAGTTGTGGACCGTGGACCAGCTGTGGGAGAAAGTTGTGGACCAGCCGTGGGTGAAAGTTGTGGACCGTGGACCAGCCGTGGGAGAAAGTTGTGGACCGTGGACCAGCCGTGGGAGAAAGTTGTGGACCGTGGACCAGCCGTGGGAGAAAGTTGTGGACCGTGGACCAGCCGTGGGAGAAAGTTGTGGACCGTGGACCAGCCGTGGGAGAAAGTTGTGGACCAGCCGTGGGAGAAAGTTGTGGACAGTGGACCAGCCGTGGGAGAAAGTTGTGGACCAGCCGTGGGAGAAAGTTGTGGACCAGCCCTGGGAGAAAGTTGTGGACCAGCCGTGGGAGAAAGTTGTGGACCAGCCGTGGGAGAAAGTTGTGGACCAGCTGTGGGAGAAAGTTGTGGACCGTGGACCAGCCGTGGGAGAAAGTTGTGGACCAGCCGGGGGAGAAAGTTGTGGATCAGCCGTGGGAGAAAGTTGTGGACCAGCCGTGGGAGAAAGTTGTGGACCAGCCGTGGGAGAAAGTTGTGGACCAGCCGTGGGAGAAAGTTGTGGACCAGCCGTGGGAGAAAGTTGTGGACCGTGGACCAGCTGTGGGAGAAAGTTGTGGACCAGCCGTGGGAGAAAGTTGTGGACCAGCCGTGGGAGAAAGTTGTGGACCGTGGACCAGCCGTGGGAGAAAGTTGTGGACCAGCCGTGGGAGAAAGTTGTGGACCAGCCGTGGGAGAAAGTTGTGGACCAGCCGTGGGAGAAAGTTGTGGACCGTGGACCAGCCGTGGGAGAAAGTTGTGGACCGTGGACCAGCCGTAGGAGAAAGTTGTGGACCGTGGACCAGCCGTAGGAGAAAGTTGTGGACCAGCCGTGGGAGAAAGTTGTGGACCGTGGACCAGCCGTGGGAGAAAGTTGTGGACCAGCCGTGGGAGAAAGTTGTGGACCAGCCGTGGGAGAAAGTTGTGGACCGTGGACCAGCCGTGGGAGAAAGTTGTGGACCAGCCGTGGGAGAAAGTTGTGGACCAGCCGTGGGAGAAAGTTGTGGACCAGCCGTGGGAGAAAGTTGTGGACCAGCCGTGGGAGAAAGTTGTGGACTAGCCGTGGGAGAAAGTTGTGGACCAGCCGTGGGAGAAAGTTGTGGACCAGCCGTGGGAGAAAGTTGTGGACCAGCCGTGGGAGAAAGTTGTGGACCAGCCGTGGGAGAAAGTTGTGGACCAGCCGTGGGAGAAAGTTGTGGACCGTGGACCAGCCGTAGGAGAAAGTTGTGGACCGTGGACCAGCCGTGGGAGAAAGTTGTGGACCGTGGACCAGCCGTAGGAGAAAGTTGTGGACCGTGGACCAGCCGTAGGAGAAAGTTGTGGACCAGCCGTGGGAGAAAGTTGTGGACCAGCCGTGGGAGAAAGTTGTGGACCGTGGACCAGCCGTAGGAGAAAGTTGTGGACCAGCCGTGGGAGAAAGTTGTGGACCGTGGACCAGCCGTGGGAGAAAGTTGTGGACCAGCCGTGGGAGAAAGTTGTGGACCAGCCGTGGGAGAAAGTTGTGGACCAGCCGTGGGAGAAAGTTGTGGACCGTGGACCAGCCGTGGGAGAAAGTTGTGGACCAGCCGTAGGAGAAAGTTGTGGACCGTGGACCAGCCGTGGGAGAAAGTTGTGGACCAGCCGTGGGAGAAAGTTGTGGACCGTTGACCAGCCGTGGGAGAAAGTTGTGGACCGTGGACCAGCCGTAGGAGAAAGTTGTGGACCGTGGACCAGCCGTGGGAGAAAGTTGTGGACCAGCCGTGGGAGAAAGTTGTGGACCGTGGACCAGCCGTGGGAGAAAGTTGTGGACCAGCCGTGGGAGAAAGTTGTGGACCGTGGACCAGCCGTAGGAGAAAGTTGTGGACCAGCCGTGGGAGAAAGTTGTGGACCGTGGACCAGCCGTGGGAGAAAGTCGTGGACCAGCCGTGGGAGAAAGTTGTGGACCAGCTGTGGAAGAAAGTTGTGGACCGTGGACCAGCCGTGGGAGAAAGTTGTGGACCAGCCGTCGGAGAAAGTTGTGGACCAGCCGTGGGAGAAAGTTGTGGACCAGCTGTGGGAGAAAGTTGTGGACCGTGGACCAGCCGTGGGAGAAAGTTGTGGACCAGCCGTGGGAGAAAGTTGTGGACCAGCCGTGGGAGAAAGTTGTGGACCATGGACCAGCTGTGGGAGAAAGTTGTGGACCAGCCGTGGGTGAAAGTTGTGGACCGTGGACCAGCCGTGGGAGAAAGTTGTGGACCGTGGACCAGCCGTGGGAGAAAGTTGTGGACCAGCCGTGGGAGAAAGTTGTGGACCAGCCGTGGGAGAAAGTTGTGGACCATGGACCAGCTGTGGGAGAAAGTTGTGGACCAGCCGTGGGTGAAAGTTATGGACCGTGGACCAGCCGTGGGAGAAAGTTGTGGACCAGCCGTGGGAGAAAGTTGTGGACCAGCCGTGGGAGAAAGTTGTGGACCAGCTGTGGGAGAAAGTTGTGGACCAGCTGTGGGAGAAAGTTGTGGACCAGCCGTGGGAGAAAGTTGTGGACCAGCCGTGGGAGAAAGTTGTGGACCAGCTGTGGGAGAAAGTTGTGGACCGTGGACCAGCCGTGGGAGAAAGTTGTGGACCAGCCGTGGGAGAAAGTTGTGGACCAGCCGTGGGAGAAAGTTGTGGACCAGCCGTGTGAGAAAGTTGTGGACTAGCCGTGGGAGAAAGTTGTGGACCAGCCGTGGGAGAAAGTTGTGGACCAGCCGTGGGAGAAAGTTGTGGACCATGGACCAGCTGTGGGAGAAAGTTGTGGACCGTGGACCAGCCGTGGGAGAAAGTTGTGGACCGTGGACCAGCCGTGGGAGAAAGTTGTGGACCAGCCGTGGGAGAAAGTTGTGGACCAGCCGTGGGAGAAAGTTGTGGACCATGGACCAGCTGTGGGAGAAAGTTGTGGACCAGCCGTGGGTGAAAGTTATGGACCGTGGACCAGCCGTGGGAGAAAGTTGTGGACCAGCCGTGGGAGAAAGTTGTGGACCAGCCGTGGGAGAAAGTTGTGGACCAGCTGTGGGAGAAAGTTGTGGACCGTGGACCAGCCGTGGGAGAAAGTTGTGGACCAGCCGTGGGAGAAAGTTGTGGACCAGCCGTGGGAAAAAGTTGTGGACCAGCCGTGGGAGAAAGTTGTGGACCGTGGACCAGCCGTGGGAGAAAGTTGTGGACCGTGGACCAGCCGTGGGAGAAAGTTGTGGACCGTGGACCAGCCGTGGGAGAAAGTTGTGGACCAGCCGTGGGAGAAAGTTGTGGACCGTGGACCAGCCGTGGGAGAAAGTTGTGGACCAGCCGTGGGAGAAAGTTGTGGACCCTGGACCAGCCGTGGGAGAAAGTTGTGGACCGTGGACCAGCCGTGGGAGAAAGTTGTGGACCGTGGACCAGCCGTGGGAGAAAGTTGTGGACCAGCCGTGGGAGAAAGTTGTGGACCAGCTGTGGGAGAAAGTTGTGGACCGTGGACCAGCCGTGGGAGAAAGTTGTGGACCAGCCGTGGGAGAAAGTTGTGGACCAGCCGTGGGAGAAAGTTGTGGACCAGCCGTGGGAGAAAGTTGTGGACCAGCCGTGGGAGAAAGTTGTGGACCGTGGACCAGTCGTGGGAGAAAGTTGTGGACCAGCCGTGGGAGAAAGTTGTGGACCGTGGACCAGCCGTGGGAGAAAGTTGTGGACCAGCCGTGGGAGAAAGTTGTGGACCGTGGACCAGCCTTGGGGAGAAAGTTGTGGACCAGCCTGTACAGAGGTGCCACTTTATTTTAAAAGAACACCAATCTCCACCCACTGTCCCACAATTCACTTTCCTTTACTCCACCAAGCCTGATTGTTTACATTTCTTACAGGCCCGCTGTGAATTTTTAAAAGTAAAAGGCTGCGAGTGGAAAATCAATAGCAATTGAGTATCGATACATTGATTCTGAGTTTATTTAGGCCAACAACCGACATGTTGTGTTTAAATGGTAGCCATGGTGTTGAGGGAGATCGACAATGCGATCATTCGATTACCTTTTAAAACTCAATAGATACTCATTGTTCGATTCCACTGATCGACGTCGAAGTACACATGTTTTCTTTGTTCTCAAGTTTCAAGTTTCATGAAGCTATATGAACAGAGTTTCTTCCAGGCATCTCTTCGGGGGGGGCGAAGCCCCCCCGAAAATTTTTTACCGCCCCCCCCCCCCCCGAAGGAAATGAAATTTATATAATTTATATAGAAAATATATACTTTTAACAGTGTCCGCCCCCCCGAAGAAAGTTTACCGCCCCCCCGAAGATTTCAAATGCCCCCCGGAGAAAAAAGTCTGGAAGAAACACTGTATATGAAGTTGACCATCAAAAAGACATGAACGGCGGATATTTAAAAACTGTAGGCCTACCCATAATTGTGATGGATCGAAAGTCTTAACTGTCTCACGAGTTCTATTTGCTTAGATTAATGATTAATGATATAAAAATAAACTTCCACTTCTCTAGCTTAAGTAATTTTTTCTTTAACTGTGTACATTATTTACTTGAGACTCTGTTTAGTTCAGGTTTGTTTACAAAATAATTCAGACATAAATTTTCAATTGTCCCGTTTTGTAATTCTTTCATAACTAGAATCTAGTCTAAAAATAATTTAAACTTTTTCACCTGTAAAGTTGTGTCTTACCTTATGAAAAATTAATATCAGCCCCAAAGTTCACACGCTGTGTCTGACAATAGATTAGCCTCCAACACATCCAACTTTACTTGCGAACATTCAGACTTCATTCAGTCCGTAGACAGACAAAAACTAGTCCTTTCATTTGGGAAATTTAAAATTAAGAAGTCACCCTAGACAAGACGGTCTAAGAATGCGACGAAATCTGGCCGATTTGTGCGACTACGGCCAAGCTGGTTTCTGTTTTAGTTACACAATGGTGAGTGGACCATAACGGCGAATTGATCTAGCGTAGACTAAATCATTCAGCCGATCAATGCTGATCAATAGCCTTACCAGTAGTTATTGATTATAGGGGGAGGGTGTGGTAGGGCTCCACAGATAGATTATTCAATTTCTTTGGCACCCAAACCTATCACGTGACATCCACTCGAGGTCGTTGATTCGTGTCAACAATTGAACTTGGTTCAATTAATTATATTATTAAATACACGAACGGAGGGGGCGGGGGTGGCGGAGATAAAATACCGAACCAACACTTTGCTTAAAACTAGGGCAGTAGGTCTACACAGGAAGATTTTTAAAGAAACAACAAATAATGTCTGCATACACACATATACATATTATACACGCATACACACACAATTGTGGGGGGGGGGGGGGGGGGGGGGATTCTATATGTTTAAATAAACTTAGGTCTATAAACTTCATGCCTAGTTGGCCCATAATTTTATGGCTGGTTGGCCCATAATTTTATGGCTGATTGGTCCATAATTTTATGGCTGGTTGGTCCATAATTTTTTGGCTGGACGGCAAATAAGTTTATGGCTGGTTGTCCTGTAATCTTATGGCTGGTTGGCTCATAGTTTTATAGCTGGTTGGCCTACACTGGCCTATACATTTATTTTTCTAACGTTACATAGGCCCTACTTACAAAAACCTGTCCCCGAGACATCATAGTTAGTATATAAAAAAACAGAGAAAAGCTATGGAAAAGATAAGCAGAAGTTGAGTTTTGTTGAAATTACTGTAAACAATCATTTTTTTGTACTGGTTTCAAAACATTCGCGAGTCTCTGTGTGCTATAAAGGGCAATAATCCACGATATATGTACACTTGGTGAAAAAACTCAGTTATCGATCTTGCACTTAAAAGTGTGTACTAGATTATTAAATGTTATTAATATTAAAATATGTAGAATCTAGGTGTAGGTCGTCTCAGTATCGTCCCAGGGAGGGGATGGTTAACATTTGTATCCAACGCACTCGTATCTCGCCATGTTTAGTGACGCCATTGAAGGAAATATACAGAGATTTTTCCTACTGTTATGAAATAAATGAAAGTAAACGTACATATATTACATACATTTAAATTAAAAACTAGCATGAAGGCATTGAATGTAATGTTTGCATATAATTTGGTTGCGTTTTATTAGATCTAGACGGCTTTTTACAATGCAACGCCTATTTACTATTTATAGAGATTACACATTGCTTTGACCGGTGTTTAAAAAGATAAAAATTTGACCCGGAAATCGCGCAGAATTCCGAAACCATAATACAAGAGGGCATTCATTTTTGTTATGTAGTTTGCTATAATAATTCAACTTGTTTCATTTTGAAGTGTAGCAGAATGGTAGCTTGTTTTATATTTTGGATTGCATCTGTACGTTGTTTAACACCACACTACTCTTTAGTAAGTTAAGTACGTAAATCCCTTTTAATTTCGATTAGTAGTGTGTAGTGACTACCGATCAGTGACTCAGTTAATCTATCGTTTTATTAGGTAGCCTACGTAAAATCGCCCGCGGCTATTAATGTGAAAAACAAGTGACTCCTTAAATTTTAATAATTATTTCACATCTTGAGCAGGATTTATGTTTTTAAAAGTACAAACATGTTTCCTTGTTTCATTTATGTACCTGTTTTTAACCCTTTGAGCCCGCCAGGCCGGTAAACCGGCTTCAACATTAGGCATATATGTCCGAAAAGCCGGTTTTCCGGCCCAATTATCTAGCGTCATATTCCTAGCGGCCGGTATACCGTCTAATTAAATATAATTAGCGGAAGACTGACTAAAACATAAAGTTGGTGCAAAAGATGAAGCAAAAGACCGAAATATCAACGAAAGAAGTAGAATGACTGCATCTCAGGCAATACAACTACTTATTGATTCTGATGAAGAAGATAATATTCCTGGTCTATATTATGATGACAGTGACGTTGAATTTGAGACTGAACTCAGTGACATTGAAATAGACAGTGACAATGAAACTGTTCAAGTACGTTCTGATGCACGTGTTGCCAAGGACAAAGACTTGCCGAAACGAAAAAAATATGTTTACTGATGCAAAACATGCGAAGTTTTTCTTTTCATCGGGTCCGGCAGTGATTACTGTTTTGAAAGTTATCACACAAAAGTGGACTTCTAGCGATGAACTAGTATGGCCAGGTATCAATAATAACAAAACAATTACTAAATGTAAATTGGTTTATTCTATGTTCTATCAAAACAATAATTACGTGTTCGTTTTATATACATTGTTCTGTTCATACATTGTAAACAAATAAAGAATTTCTGAATCTTTCTGCTTTGATGTTTGATCCGGAGTCTGGATACCAAATTTGGTCTGATTATCTCAAATGGTTCAAAAGTTATAGGCAAAGTTAGAAGCTAATAAGTGAAAATTGGTTTGGTCCTGGGAGCTCAGGAAATGGGAGAAACTAGGCCAGGGAGGCCAGGGCTCAAAGGGTTAAACAATTGAATTAAAACTTTTCCGTAATAAATGAAGACTAGCGATGTTTCCAACAGATGCAACCATGCTCATTTACTATAGCAGCCATCTTGTTTAAGTTTTATTTTTATAAGCTTATAGCGCAGATTCAGGGGGAAGCCACTCTATTTTACAAATGGCATTTGTTTATATAGCAAAACTTGCTCTCAGACACTGCTGTTTAAAGTTAATTTCTGGCCTATATTGATATATTTAGCCACTGATTTTGGTTTATTCATTTATCTATAATATTTGACACAAACATATGAAAATATACTTCTATTAAAGCCTTGACAATGAGGTAACGTTTTTGTACATTAATGGCCGCGGGCGATTTTACGTACCCAAAACGATAGATTACCCAGTAATCAGTCTCAGTATCTGTCAGTATCTGAGTATCTGAGTATGTGATGTCACTAACTACTTAGTACTATCGTATCACTGAGTATCATACAGACTACAGTGAACAGTAGTCTAGATCTACCTAGTAACAGTCTAGTCTAGATCTAGATTACCTAGATTTAGAATCTAAATTTAGTAAATTTAGATTCTAAATCTAGATCTAGATCTAGATCTAGACTAAATCTTCACTTCTAGACTCCAGACTAATCTCGACTCTAGTCTTGACTCTAGAGCAGGGGTCTCCAAACTACGGCCCGCGGGCCGTATGCGGCCCGCGAGGTCCTCTTATCCGGCCCGCGGAGATATTTTTGTCCATGGAAAAGAACGTTTGTTGGCGATGGCTGCAGAAAAATTAAAGACATGCCAAGAAGAAACTGGCCCCTGAACTGAAATTTGATAGTTAATGCGGCCCTCGGACTGAAAAGTTTGGAGACCCCTGCTCTAGAGTAATATTATATAGGCCTAATATATATTATATAATATATATCTGACTAAACCTACACTACAAATTTAACTACATTACATTATTACTGCAGTCTACTGCATTACTGTTCTAGATCTTACTGAGCTAGCAGGCCTAAGCTAGACCAGATTTTACTCTTTTAGAACAGTGTTTTTTTTAACCTGGGTTTGATTGAACCCCAAGCCATGAGTTTGGCAGTTTGGCAAGTCAGTCTCAGGCAGAGGCGTAGCAGGGGTGGGGGGTGGGCTGACTGCACTGGGTGAAATCATTATAAGGGGGGTGGGGGGTGACACTAAGGCAAAAAATAGCAAATATATACTGAAAAAAATGATCATTCCAGTTAAATAAATGATTAATTAGAATTAAATAGACTTCTAAGAGCAAAGTTGACAAGTCCCAACAAGAGGGGTGACACAACAATGTAAACCTGCTACATCCAGCTGTATTAATAACCAACTATGAGTGGGGGGGGGGGGGGGGGCTTACATTAACTAGTTGCGCAAGGAAAAAGATTTTGTTGAGAATCATAATAACTTAATTGACAATCTATGTCTGGTGGAGGGGGGGGGGGGGGGTGGCACCAAACTTTATAATTTACTACAAAAACAATGATTTATGCAATTGAATTAATAACTGTTAGAGTTAGGCCCCTAAATGCTTTTTCTAGGTGGGTTAATAATGTTTGCAGGCCATTTATGCCATAACAAAACTTAGGGGGGGGGGGGGGGTGGCTCCAAATATAACAAAACATCAACCAAAGTGGATTGGGGTGAAATCACATAGGAATTTTACAAATCTGCATATCATTTGAGCAACAGATGAATAGAACTGGTTGGCTTGCCATATTGACAAATTATGATGCTTGTTGTTGCCATGAAAAGAGTTGCCAAACATTATGAAATAATTAATTCACACCTTAAGTCAGTTTTTTTATCTTTAAATTTTGTTTATATTATGCTATGGATTATGCTAAATAATAATAATTTGAATGTTATTAATAACTGAGTAATTCTAGCCATAAGAATTGAAAAATTAAAATGAAACATGGAGCTACCATTTTACAATCATTAGGTCGCTTTCAGTAGTTATGTAAATTACATAACTACTGAAAGCGACCTAATGATGATAGCAACTCAAAACCGTGCTGTACCCAGTAATTACACTGAGAACTGAATTTCTGTATTAAAATTATAAATTAAGTGCAGGAACTAGCAATCAAGTAATGTCAAACTGTAGTGATGAATGGAAATGAGATATATCATTATATGGCATTTGGCATATATGGAAGGGATGTGAGTCTACACAATTTAGTAATTGTGGCAGAATTAGATTTTACGTGAGAGACCATAGGCTGTAAATACCAGAGTTTATTAATAATTCACACATTTGATTTAGCTTTATTAAATTGGCAAGAACTAGGCCTAAAAAATCATTTTTGAATGTATTAAATTAAACTTAGAGGCAGTGGAATTAATTGTCTTATATATTAATAATTAATTGACGTCCTTACTACTTAGATCTAGATATAGTACTACTTACACCTACTTTTAAACTTATTATTAAAATTTAATGGTTAGTCAAAAGGTAGGCCTAATGTATAGGCACAGGCAATGGAAGCCAAGGAGAGCAGCCATTTTAACTTATCATGTATGTGCTAGCTCAGGTAGTTAAGCTCTAAGTCATCAGTTACTATGATTGCTTGAATTACACCAAACTTTGTTGAGCTGATATCAGATATTGATGAAAAAACACTTTATATTAAATATCAAGGGGGAAATAAAGAATCAACACAAAACATTGATTTCAAGACCAACAGTGAAAGAACATACAGCCATAAGAAGTAGTGATATTCAGTAAACAAACAGAAAAACATACAGTGGTAAAGATACAATAAAATGAAAGCTTGTAAAAACATACAACAGTAAAGATACTATAAAATGAAAGCTTGTAACAAAATAAAATGGTAAAGATACTATAAAATGAAAGCTTGTAACAAAATAAAATGGTAAAGATACTATAAAATGAAAGCTTGTAACAAAATAAAATGGTAAAGATACTATAAAATGAAAGCTTGTAAAAACATACAATGGTTTAAAGATATTATATAATGAAAGCTTGTAAAAACATACAACAGTAAAGATACTATAAAATGAAAGCTTGTAAAAACATACAATGGTAAAGATACTATAAAATGAAAGCTTGTAAAAACATACAATGGTAAAGATACTATAAAATGAAAGCTTGTAACAAAATAAAATGGTAAAGATACTATAAAATGAAAGCTTGTAAAAACATACAATGGTAAAGATACTATAAAATGAAAGCTTGTAAAAACATACAACAGTAAAGATACTATAAAATGAAAGCTTGTAACAAAATAAAATGGTAAAGATACTATAAAATGAAAGCTTGTAAAAACATACAATGGTTTAAAGATATTATATAATGAAAGCTTGTAAAAACATACAACAGTAAAGATACTATAAAATCAAAGCTTGTAAAAACATACAATGGTAAAGATACTATAAAATGAAAGCTTGTAAAAACACAATGGTAAAGATACTATAAAATGAAAGCTTGTGTGCCTCACTAAGTTGATCACAGCTGGCTTTAGATAGCATCAGCAGATACCATCAGCAGTCTAGCAGATTTGATATGGCCAGAACATTGCCATCTTTAATTTGTCCGCCTCTCATTAACCTGTTATTGATGGGTAAGCCTATCATCCAATGTAATTGTAAGCCTGCTCTAGTAAATGTAATCAAACTGTAAGCTTATCATTGTAAGCCTGCTGTAGTAAATGTAATCAAAGTGTAAGCCTGCTATGGTGTATGTAATCTATTGTTAGCTTATTATGGCAAATGTAATGAAGATTTAAGACTATTTTGTTAAATGTAATGAAGATGTAATCCTATTATAGTAAATGTAATCAAACTGTAAGCTTATTATAGCAAACGTTATGAAGATTTAAGCCTATTTTGGTAAACATAATGAAGATATAAGCCTGCTATGGTTAAAGTATGTTATGAAGATGTAAGTCTATTTCAGTAAATGTAATGAAGATGTGTGCTTATTATGGCAAATTTAATGAAAATGTAAGTCTATTTTGGTAAATGTAATGAAGATGTAAGCCTGCTATGGTTAATGTAATGAAGATGTATGCTTATTATGGCAAATTTAATGAAAATGTAAATCTTATTTTGGTAAATGTAATGAAGATGTAAGCCTGCTATGTGTAATGTAACCAAACTGTAAGCCTGCTATGTGTAATGTAATCAAACTGTAAGCGTTCCATCTGATCTGTAAGCTCATCATTAGATCCTCTCCGTCCAGCTTGACAATGATCATAAACAAGTGAACAGCTGGTATAAAAAAATGAGTTATTGATTTATATTTGGCTACATGATTATAGGCAGGTGTGTGCACTATAAACCACTGTGTAGCCAGCGTTGTGTAACACTAGTCCCAGGGAAAGTATTTGGGCAGATCCATACCACCACCACCAGCAGCAGTCACATGACTTGTCTGCTGGGCTACAACAGTACATACGGTTCTGCTCTGTTGGTTTTCCTCTGCTTGTCAGCAGATAAGATCTGCTCATTTTAATTTGTGTATACAAATTAAAAGTTGTAATACTAGTGATACTTTTTTTTTGTAAGTAGTATAAAAATAGTTGTTTTACGTTGTATGTACTTTTACTTTCCTATCTACACACAGAGGAAGGATTGTAATAGTGCTTAATAATTAACAGATATCTTGACAGTTTTCACCATTGTACACCTCCCTACTTTAGGGAATTCAAAGGATGCATTGTAAACGTTAAAAAATCTAAATTGATATTTTTGTCAAATTTTGATGTTTTGACGTTAATTTTGAGGGGCCTTTGCTATCCGAAAGTGGTACTTAACTCTATTCACAGTTTCTAAATTACTGTTAACATAAGTACCATTTCACTTAGGTGAACGGAGTTTTATACATATTTATAAGATCTGACTCTCTTGATTCTTTCAAATTTTGAGTGATTTCAGTGAGAGCAAATGTAGTTATTTCTGATGATATCACTTTTAGCTGACATATTTGTTTTACGTAAGGCAATATTTGATGAAAATGCACTATGACATAAAATGTTTAATTTACTTTTTTTAAAAAGCACTAATTTTCAGCTCAATTATGAACACATTGTTTATCATTTGGTGCACAATTCTTTTTTCAACTCAATCCTTTTCAGTTTTTAAAAAATAATAAAATATTAAAGAAAAACATTACATTCCCAATTGCTCTGAAAGTGCCATCCCAGTGTATGAGGGAAGATCACTCCCGCTTTATTTATCAATGTTATATTTTAAATTTAGTTAAGATTAAGTCTAGATGTGTTTTTAAATTTGGTTTAATTAAGACAATTAGCCTGCTGCCTGCAATGTTGACCTTCTGTGCAGGGTGTCTGAGTGCAGCAAGCTGAGCATGTTGGTGCCACTGTTCACTGCCATCTTTGCGCTGCTCCTCTACCTGTTTGTCAGGCTGTTTCACCTGACAACGCCCGCTGCGGCCCCGCTCATCTACGCCAAGGACCAGTCCTCACAGTTTGTGCAGTCCATCCTTCTCAAGTGTCCCACCCTACACCGACCGTGAGTCTCGCAACCTTTGCTAGTTTAGACCTGCAAGAATAAAAATCAAAGCACAATTTAAAATCATTTGTTTATTAACTAATGACTCTTAATTGAAATTTTTAGCAAAAATATTTAACTTTAACAATAGATTTGTTGAATGCAAACTGCTTTTGTTGTTGAATGTTTTTGCTAATTTAACTAGAGTAACATCCCCTTTACCCCCCAGCTACACACCACCCCTGCTGTGGGGCAAGAGCGGCCATGCCCAAACGATAGCCTATGCCAAGATGGGCCGCGTCAATATGCCGGTCCCTAGTGGAGTCAGACACACTAAGGTCATGGCTGATGGGGTGACCTTAACCTTTGACCTTCATGAGCCTTTAGCACCACACAAGAGTGGAGGTATGTTTTGCTTTTCAAATTGCTTTTTACTTTCTCGTATGTACGAAGTATAGAGAAAGTATTGTAATCGTGCAAAAAAAAAATCGAGATGTTTACAAATCTCGACGTTTTACATCTCACTGATACGGAAAAACATAATTTTGCAATCTTGTCCGTATGTCTGCGTGTCTGTCTGTCTGTCTGTCTGTGTGTGTGTGTGTAAACACGATAACTTGAGTACCGTTACAGCTAGGTTGATGAAATTTCATATATAAGTATTTTATCAAAATCGTAGATCCGTATCAACTTTTGAGCGATTTCCGATAACCGGAAGTGGTACTTTTCCTACTTTGAAATTTTCAAAAGCCTATAACTTGAGTACTATTTCAGATAGATAAACGAAATTTCACATGTAAGTAAAAGATCTAATTCTCTACCTTCTGTTAAATTTTGAGTCATTTACGTTGAACGGAAGTAGTGATTTATGCTACTTCCGATTTCTCAAAAAACTAATGTAAATTTTTAAAGTACTAATAATATTGCGCACTATTATGCATTTTTTTATTCAGCGTTCACTTGGTGTGCAATTCTTTTGTCTACAAGATTTTATTCTATTTTTAAAACTTTAAGTATTTAAAATGGATTAAAAATCATGTCTATAGCCCGAGTTCCCATCCCCTGTTATTTTGTATAAAAATATTCGAGAAAGTTTAGGGGAGATCACTCCCGGTTTATTATTAGCTGGAAACATAAAAATATAAAACAAGCTTTCTTTCTTTAATAGTCACATCCATTGGTCACTGAAATTTGTAAGGGACCTGAAGAGTGACCAATGCTTTTATTTAAAAAAGAAACAAATCGGTTTTGTTTTCATAATTTCATTAAAAACCTTTAAATTCCACAGGTTTTTGTTTTGTTTTTTAAATGTTTTTAATTTCTGGTCTTCAACCATTGAATTCTCTCCCTTCCATCTCAGGGAATTATAGCATCATCTTGTTTCCTGGTATTATTTCTGAATTCTCTCCCTTCCATCTCAGGGAATTATAGCATCATCTTGTGCCCTGATATTATTTCTGAATTCTCTCCCTTCCATCTCAGGGAATTATAGCATCATCTTGTGCCCTGATATTATTTCTGAATTCTCTCCCTTCCATCTCAGGGAATTATAGCATCATCTTGTGCCCTGATATTATTTCTGAATTCTCTCCCTTCCATCTCAGGGAATTATAGCATCATCTTGTGTCCTGGTATTATTTCTGATCTCCAACCATTGAATTCTCTCCCTTCCATCTCAGGGAATTATAGCATCATCTTGTGTCCTGGTATTATTTCTGATCTCCAACAATTGAATTCTCTCCCTTCCATCTCAGGGAATTATAGCATCATCTTGTGTCCTGGTATTATTTTTGGTCTCCAACCATTGAATTCTCTCCCTTCCATCTCAGGGAATTATAGCATCATCTTGTGTCCTGGTATTATTTCTGATCTCCAACCATTGAATTCTCTCCCTTCCATCTCAGGGAATTTTAGCATCATCTTGTGTCCTGGTATTATTTCTGATCTCCAACAATTGAATTCTCTCCCTTTCATCTCAGGGAATTATAGCATCATCTTGTGTCCTGGTATTATTTTTGAATTCTCTCCCTTCCATCTCAGGGAATTATAGCATCATCTTGTGTCCTGGTATTATTTCTGATCTCCAACCATTGAATTCTCTCCCTTCCATCTCAGGGAATTATAGCATCATCTTGTGTCCTGGTATTATTTTTGAATTCTCTCCCTTCCATCTCAGGGAATTATAGCATCATCTTGTGTCCTGGTATTATTTTTGAATTCTCTCCCTTCCATCTCAGGGAACTTTAGCATCATCTTGTGTCCTGGTATTATTTTTGAATTCTCTCCCTTCCATCTCAGGGAACTTTAGCATCATCTTGTGTCCTGGTATTATTTTTGAATTCTCTCCCCTCCATCTCAGGGAACTTTAGCATCATCTTGTGTCCTGGTATTATTTTTGAATTCTCTCCCTTCCATCTCAGGGAATTATAGCATCATCTTGTGTCCTGGTATTATTTTTGAATTCTCTCCCTTCCATCTCAGGGAATTATAGCATCATCTTGTGTCCTGGTATTATTTCTGAATTCTCTCCCTTCCATCTCAGGGAATTATAGCATCATCTTGTGCCCTGATATTATTTTTGAATTCTCTCCCTTCCATCTCAGGGAATTATAGCATCATCTTGTGCCCTGGTATTATTTTTGAATTCTCTCCCTTCCATCTCAGGGAATTATAGCATCATCTTGTGCCCTGATATTATTTTTGAATTCTCTCCCTTCCATCTCAGGGAATTATAGCATCATCTTGTGCCCTGGTATTATTTTTGAATTCTCTCCCTTCCATCTCAGGGAATTATAGCATCATCTTGTGCCCTGGTATTATTTTTGAATTCTCTCCCTTCCATCTCAGGGAATTATAGCATCATCTTGTGTCCTGGTATTATTTTTGAATTCTCTCCCTTCCATCTCAGGGAATTATAGCATCATCTTGTGTCCTGTATTATTTCTGAATTCTCTCCCTTCCATCTCAGGGAATTATAGCATCATCTTGTGTCCTGGTATTATTTCTGATCTCCAACCATTGAATTCTCTCCCTTCCATCTCAGGGAACTATAGCATCATCTTGTGTCCTGGTATTATTTTTGAATTCTCTCCCTACCATCTCAGGGAATTATAGCATCATCTTGTGTCCTGGTATTATTTTTGAATTCTCTCCCTTCCATCTCAGGGAATTATAGCATCATCTTGTGTCCTGGTATTATTTCTGATCTCCAACCATTGAATTCTCTCCCTTCCATCTCAGGGAATTATAGCATCATCTTGTGTCCTGGTATTATTTTTGAATTCTCTCCCTTCCATCTCAGGGAATTATAGCATCATCTTGTGTCCTGGTATTATTTTTGAATTCTCTCCCTTCCATCTCAGGGAACTTTAGCATCATCTTGTGTCCTGGTATTATTTTTGAATTCTCTCCCTTCCATCTCAGGGAACTTTAGCATCATCTTGTGTCCTGGTATTATTTTTGAATTCTCTCCCTTCCATCTCAGGGAACTTTAGCATCATCTTGTGTCCTGGTATTATTTTTGAATTCTCTCCCTTCCATCTCAGGGAATTATAGCATCATCTTGTGTCCTGGTATTATTTTTGAATTCTCTCCCTTCCATCTCAGGGAATTATAGCATCATCTTGTGCCCTGATATTATTTTTGAATTCTCTCCCTTCCATCTCAGGGAATTATAGCATCATCTTGTGCCCTGGTATTATTTTTGAATTCTCTCCCTTCCATCTCAGGGAATTATAGCATCATCTTGTGCCCTGATATTATTTCTGAATTCTCTCCCTTCCATCTCAGGGAATTATAGCATCATCTTGTGTCCTGGTATTATTTCTGATCTCCAACCATTGAATTCTCTCCCTTCCATCTCAGGGAATTATAGCATCATCTTGTGTCCTGGTATTATTTCTGATCTCCAACAATTGAATTCTCTCCCTTCCATCTCAGGGAATTATAGCATCATCTTGTGTCCTGGTATTATTTCTGATCTCCAACAATTGAATTCTCTCCCTTCCATCTCAGGGAACTATAGCATCATCTTGTGTCCTGGTATTATTTTTGAATTCTCTCCCTTCCATCTCAGGGAATTATAGCATCATCTTGTGTCCTGGTATTATTTTTGAATTCTCTCCCTTTCATCTCATGGAATTATAGCATCATCTTGTGTCCTGGTATTATTTCTGAATTCTCTCCCTTCCATCTCAGGGAATTATAGCATCATCTTGTGTCCTGGTATTATTTCTGATCTCCAACCATTGAATTCTCTCCCTTCCATCTCAGGGAACTATAGCATCATCTTGTGTCCTGGTATTATTTTTGAATTCTCTCCCTACCATCTCAGGGAATTATAGCATCATCTTGTGTCCTGGTATTATTTTTGAATTCTCTCCCTTCCATCTCAGGGAATTATAGCATCATCTTGTGTCCTGGTATTATTTCTGATCTCCAACCATTGAATTCTCTCCCTTCCATCTCAGGGAATTATAGCATCATCTTGTGTCCTGGTATTATTTTTGAATTCTCTCCCTTCCATCTCAGGGAATTATAGCATCATCTTGTGTCCTGGTATTATTTTTGAATTCTCTCCCTTCCATCTCAGGGAACTTTAGCATCATCTTGTGTCCTGGTATTATTTTTGAATTCTCTCCCTTCCATCTCAGGGAACTTTAGCATCATCTTGTGTCCTGGTATTATTTTTGAATTCTCTCCCTTCCATCTCAGGGAACTTTAGCATCATCTTGTGTCCTGGTATTATTTTTGAATTCTCTCCCTTCCATCTCAGGGAATTATAGCATCATCTTGTGTCCTGGTATTATTTTTGAATTCTCTCCCTTCCATCTCAGGGAATTATAGCATCATCTTGTGCCCTGATATTATTTTTGAATTCTCTCCCTTCCATCTCAGGGAATTATAGCATCATCTTGTGCCCTGGTATTATTTTTGAATTCTCTCCCTTCCATCTCAGGGAATTATAGCATCATCTTGTGCCCTGATATTATTTCTGAATTCTCTCCCTTCCATCTCAGGGAATTATAGCATCATCTTGTGTCCTGGTATTATTTCTGATCTCCAACCATTGAATTCTCTCCCTTCCATCTCAGGGAATTATAGCATCATCTTGTGCCCTGGTATTATTTTTTAATTCTCTCCCTTCCATCTCAGGGAATTATAGCATCATCTTGTGCCCTGGTATTATTTTTGAATTCTCTCCCTTCCATCTCAGGGAATTATAGCATCATCTTGTGTCCTGTATTATTTCTGAATTCTCTCCCTTCCATCTCAGGGAATTATAGCATCATCTTGTGTCCTGGTATTATTTCTGATCTCCAACCATTGAATTCTCTCCCTTCCATCTCAGGGAATTATAGCATCATCTTGTGTCCTGGTATTATTTCTGATCTCCAACCATTGAATTCTCTCCCTTCCATCTCAGGGAACTTTAGCATCATCTTGTGTCCTGGTATAGGCAACAACAGTGAGTCTCCCTATATCCGCACCCTGGTGGATTACGCCCAGAGGAGTGGATACACTGCTGTTGTTCTCAACCATGTAGGATCCACAAAGACTATCCAGCTTACAGGGTCTCGGATATTCACATACGGTCAGTCAACTAGGAATGATATGGTCAGTCACTGAGAAACAAGGCAGTCAAGCTATAGGCTTTTAAGTGAGATGCCTAAGCCCTAACCTAGTCCTAAATTTACTCTTGTACTAACCATAACACTATTGTTATTTATTGTATATGGATCTACCTTTCCTACAATGCCAATGTTACAAAAAGAAAATAATATTAGACAACAAATATAGCGTTTAATTAGCAAGTTTCAGGACATGTAACTGTAACAGCTGGTTAAAATGTGTGCAGTACAACTGCAACAGCTGATTCAGACAAGTCCTTTGTAATAGTGAAGTACATCTTGGGATAATGTAGGATTGTATTCAGACAATTTGTAATAGTGAAGTACCTCTTGGGATAATGTAGGATTGTATTCAGACATGTCCTTTGTAATCCTGAATTACCTCTTGGGATAATGTAGGATTGTATTCCCCAGGTGGTACAGAAGAGCTGGGTGAGGTGAGGAGGGAGGTGGAGAGGCTGAAACCTGGCAGTGGGATCATCCTGGTGGGCTGCAGTATGGGGGCCAACGTGGTGGTCAAGTACCTGGGGGAGAGGCTGGAGCATCAGCAGGGCATTCTGGGAGCTGTGTCCATTAGTCAGGGCTACGACGTCATCAAGTACGTGCTACGCTGGACGTTTTGATCTTACACCACTGACCATACACACTTACACCACTGACCATACACACTTACACCACTGACCATACACACTTACACCACTGACCATACACCCTTACACCACTGACCATACACCACTGACCATACACACTTACACCACTGACCATACACACTTACACCACTGACCATACACCCTTACACCACTGACCATACACACTTACACCACTGACCATACACACTTACACCACTGACCATACACCCCTATGCCACTGACCATACACCCTTACGCCACTGACCATACACCCTTACGCCACTGACCATACACCCTTATGCCACTGACCATACACCCTTACGCCACTGACCATACACCCTTATGCCACTGACCATACACCCTTACACCACTGACCATACACATTTATTACCACTGACCATACACCCTTACACCACTGACCACACACCCTTACACCACTGACCATACACATTTATTACCACTGACCATACACCCTTACACCACTGACCATACACCCTTACACCACTGACCACACACATTTATTACCACTGACCATACACCCTTACGCCACTGACCATACACCCTTATGCCACTGACCATACACCCTTACACCACTGACCATACACCCTTACACCACTGACCACACACCCTTATGCCACTGACCACACACCCTTATGCCACTGACCATACACCCTAATGCCACTGACCATACACCTTTATTAACACTGACCATACACCCTAATGCCACTGACCTTTCACCCTTACACCACTGACCATACACCCATAGGCCACTGACCTTTCACCCTTATGTTACTGACCATACACTTTTGATAGGGCCAAACCACTGCTGTTGTCATGGAAACACCTGAGGCGCCTGTACATCTACGTGATGACCAGGAACCAGAAGAACCTGATCCGCTGCCACCAGCAACAGCTGTTGAGTCAGGAGGTCAAGGCCAAGTACGGCATAGACGAGGCTGCGCTGTTTGCTGCCAGGACAATGGAGGAGCTGGATGAAGCTTACACCAGGTCAGTTGGTGCACTAGACCAGTTGGTGCACTAGATCAGTTGGTACACTAGGTCAGTTGGTGCACTAGGTCAGTTGGTGCACCAGGTCACTTGCTGCACTAGAGTTGGTGCATTAGGTCAGTTGGTGCACTAGGTCAGTTGGTGCACCAGGTCAATTGGTGCACTGGGTCAGTTGGTGCACTAGGTCAGTTGGGGCACTAGGTCAGTTGGTGCACCAGGTCAGTTGGTGCATTAGATCAGTTGGTGCACTAGGTCAGTTGCTGCCTTCTCCACCATCTACATAGATCAGTTGTGACTTAGATGAAACCTACACTGGGCTAGTTGTCCTCAATTTATGATGTGCACCAAATATTAAATGTTTTACACACCCCCCAACATGCACCGACTGTTACAAATTTGTGTTCAACTTGGTTCATCTGTCTGTCAAGCTTAATGCTAGAGTTGGTTGCCATTCTGTGATGGAAATATTGATATTTAAATCAGTAGAACCAACTTGTTACAATGTTATTGACACAAACTTTGACATAATATTATAATCCTAACATGAATCTAAGTGGAGATGGTACATAGACCCTTTGATAAGTTGTGGTAAGTATAATCTGTACTCTAGATCTGTTGCTAGGCAACACAAGTCAAGCAATCACCCTTCTCGTCTGCAGGCGTCGCCATGGGTACACCACCTTAGATGACTACTACTACCACAACAGTAGCTGCCACTACCTGTGTAATGTATGTACCACCTCATATTTCTTTGTCGCATCTAGTGCTCATAACATGCCAGCAATCCTAGTCCCCGTTCCCCCCCCCCCCCCCAGTAGTCTCCCCCACATTGTTTTGACCAGATTTCACTACCCTACCCCACCTTCATTAACCAATATAGAACCAAACCTAAAAAGACTGGACCAATACCAAAATAGATTTTGTGTTGGCCAGGGTTAAAGGTCACTTTACCCACCCTTACATGCTGTGCTACAATGTATTGAGTAGAAATTTTTTGATATGATGATGTAGCATATAAAAATAGCTGTAAAAATTAGTAACGACCTATATAGAATAACATTGACTTATGACCCAGATAAAATGTAACATTGACTTATGACCCAGATAAAAATGTACCATTGACATATGACCCAGCTACAATGTAACCTTGACCTTTGACCCAGATAAAAATCCCACTTCTTGTGGTCAATGCTGAAGATGACCCTATTGTACCTAAAGAACTTCTTGAGTGCCCACTGCAAGCCTCAAGTAAGTAAACATCTGCCACACATCTGCCACACATTCGCCACACATTTGCCACACATCTGTCACACATCTGCCGCATATTTGCCACATATGTGCCACACTGTATCATCTTTTTAAGACACATTGTAGACCTTTTAATTAACTTTTTTAGCCATTCTTGTGATTTTGTTTTAGCTCAAAAACATTGCTTTAGACAGTTAAGATCTAAAACATTGTTTAAACCTGCTTAAATCAAGACCTAATTAAAAGTAAACATTGACCTAACATAAGACATCCAAACAGAAGTATAGGTCCCATGTTGGCTAAACCTAATGGTGTGTTTCCTCACTTTCATTTGATATTTTCACTAAATATAACATAAGACTAACCCATTTGTATATTTTCACTAAATATAACAAACCCATATTCTAAATGAAATAAAACAAATGCTGCTAAAACATATTAAAAAAATTTACAGCATGAAATATTTTCTAAAAATAAATGTAATGTATTTTTTTTTACTTTTGCCTTGTAAACAAAAGAGGTGATAGTTGTTTTTAAATTACCACATTATTTTTCTACTTATAGAAGTCGACAATCTTTTAAAAATAGATTCTCTTGTAATATTGTTTGATAACATAAACATTCTGTGGTTGCCATAAATCTAAACAAATTTGGTCCTGGACTAGTTTTGATCATTGTAACCAATCAACATGCTGTATATCCCATCCTAACCAATCAACATGCTGTATATCCCAGAATGCCTTCCTCACATGATCTTTGCTGTGACCAAACATGGCGGCCACCTGGGATTTTTTGAGAACGGGATAGTTCACCCAGACAGTCTGACGTGGATGGACAGGTAAGCTGTTTACCTGTAGAGATGATGTGACAGGTAAGCTGTTTACCTGTAGAGATGATGTGACAGGTAAGCTGTTTACCTGTAGAGATGATGTGACAGGTAAGCTGTTTACCTGTAGAGATGATGTGACAGGTAAGCTGTTTACCTGTAGAGATGATGTGGGATTGTTGACTCCAGGGGGAAAAAAAGCAGGGGGGGGATGGGGACGGATGGACAACATTATAAACCCCCTGTCCTACATTATGAACCCCCTGCCCTACATTATAAACCCCCTGCCCTACATTATAAACCCCTGCCCTACATTATAAACCCCCTGCCCTACATTATAAATCCCCTGCCCTACATTATAAATCCCTGCCCTACATTATAAACCCCCTGCCCTACATTATGAACCCCTGCCCTACATTATGAACCCCTGCCCTACATTATAAACCCCCTGCCCTACATTATAAACCCCTGCCCTACATTATGAACCCCCTGCCCTACATTATAAACCCCTGCCCTACATTATGAACCCCCTGCCCTACATTATAAACCCCCTGCCCTACATTATAAACCCCTGCCCTACATTATAAACCCCCTGCCCTACATTATAAACCCCCTGCTCTACATTATAAACCCCTGCCCTACATTATGAACCCCTGCCCTACATTATAAACCCCTGTCCTACATTATAAACCCCCTGTCCTACATTATAAACCCCCTGCCCTACATTATAAACCCCTGCCCTACATTATAAACCCCTGCCCTACATTATAAACCCCCTGCCCTACATTATAAACCCCCTGCCCTACATTATAAACCCCCTGCCCTACATTATGAACCCCCTGGCCTACATTATGAACCCCCTGCCCTACATTATGAACCCCCGCCCTACATTATAAACCCCCTGCCCTACATTATAAACCCCTGCCCTACATTATGAACTCCCGCCCTACATTATAAACCCCCTGCCCTACATTATAAACCCCCTGCCCTACATTATGAACCCCCTGCCCTACATTATAAACCCCTGCCCTACATTATGAACCCCCTGCCCTACATTATAAACCCCTGCCCTACATTATGAACCCCTGGCCTGTCACCAGGTTGATCATTGAGTATGCTGACGCCATCACTGAACTCCACACCAAACAACAACTACCACACCAAGGCTCCATCCACGACGACAACATGGCTGGAGATTACATCAAGAAAAACAACAACACACATGGCAAGGAGGACACCCTGTCCAAAGATGAGATTTTGACCAATGGGAAAGATGAGATTTTGCCGAATGGGAAAGATGATGCGCCTGTGATAGCTTGTCTGAACAGAAATGGAGTTGTAGAGTAGCCAGCTTTAGATTCTAGCCCACTGATTTGCAGCTCTGGCTGTTAGTTGGTGCCTCAGACAACAATAGAAAGTTTTATCAAACCCACTGAGCCCACATACATTTCAAAACTATCTGGGTGAAGTGTTTTTTTAAACAACATGTTTGATAAATTGTAACATGATGTTTAAAAAAACAAATGAGCACCCAGATGACCCAGAAGGCCATGATGAAACAAACAACATGAACTTGTGTGAAACTCTCCAAATTCTGTCACTTGCATAGAAAACTTTCAGGCTCAACAACTCTGCACTGACTCATGGTTTAGTCATGTTAGAGTTAGTGTCCTTTATCACAACAAGTTTGCAGGGGATAGACAGAGTTTTCACACTACAATGTATTCTTCAAAACTTTTGATGTATCAGCTAACTGCTGTTTCAGCCAGTCACTCCATTTGTGTACTGGCTTGCTGCAGTACTTCTAGTCTTGTGATATTCAAGGGCTTTCTTTTTACATCAGGATGGCTCATCAGGATGGGTCATAGGATGGGCTCATCAGGATGGGCTCATTAGGATGGTTCATCAGGATGGCTCATCAGGATGGTTCATCAGGATGGCTCATCAGGATGGTTCATCAGGATGGCTCATCAGGATGGCTCATCAGGATGGCTCATCAGGATGGGTTTATCATGTGCTATTTATTTAATCACCATCCTCATTACATATAGTAGCTAGATAGAGATGTTAGCTAAATAGTTTAATTTATGAGTCTGTCATCTGGGGTCATATGGGTCAATTTGTCTAGCTGGGTTGGTATGGGTCAGCCTGTCTAGCTGGTTTGCTGGGTTGGTATGGGTCACTGTAAAAAAATATATTTGGTAGCTTCTACCTAAAGACAATAGGCATTAGGTCAAGCTTTAACAGTAGGCATTAGGTTAAGCAAATTAAATCCCTTTATATTTTCACCTAATAGCTGTCAGTCCTGTATATAACAAGGTCCAGTTTTTGACACCATTTAAAACATGCTCCAATAAGATGCACCAGCATGTATTGATGAGTTTTAAATTGCTTATATTGCATGTTAGAAGTGAGCTTAAAAAACCAGTGTACCCTAGATACCCAGTAACATAGTTGTGTACCAGTTATAAAATGACATTACCAACTGGCATACAATATCCTATTTGCCCACTGTTTTTTTTTACTATCATCTGGCTGGGCAAGAACACTAACTGTTGCTGCCATTTTTAAACAACTTTTTCTCTCTGCCTTTACAGACTGAAATAAGACCAATTTATTTGTCAAATTTGATGTGAAATTGCTGAATTGTTTTCTTGCCATTGATGCCTTGTGTATGGGTTCAACCTCAGGAAATATACACAATTATTTTTTCCTCTATAAAAATAATTTTCATCAGTACTGCTAAGGTAGCTATCAGTTGGATGGCCAGAGCTAAGGTAGCTATCATTTGGATGGCCAGAGCTAAGGTAGCTATCTGTTGATGGCCAGAGCTAAGGTAGCTATCTGTTGATGGCCAGAGCTAAGGTAGCTATCTGTTGATGGCCAGAGCTAAGGTAGCTATCCGTTGGATGGCCAGAGCTAAGGTAGCTATCATTTGGATGGCCATGGCCATCGGCACTGCTTATGTAGCCATTACTTTGATGGCCCAGCTGCACTGCTAAGGTAGCTATCACTAGGATGGCCGTGGCCATGAGAACAGCTAAGGTAGCTATCAATTGAAGCTGGAAACTTTCACCTACCGTTGCCTTAGCATTTGAAGTGTGTTGTGTGCAACAAGGTGTGTGTGTGCCAATATTTTTCTCTAAATACCTATCAACTTGAGTCCCTAGATTTGTCTCCCCTGGTAAATCTAGAGCCCCTAGATTTGTCTCCCCTGGTAAATCTAGAGCCCTTAGATTTGTCCCCCCTGGTAAATCTAGAGCCCCTAGATTTGCCTCCCCTGGTAAATCTAGAGCCCTTAGATTTATCTCCCCTGGTAAATCTAGAGCCTCTAGATTTGTCTCCCCTGGTAAATCTAGAGCCCTTAGATTTATCTCCCCTGGTAAATCTAGAGCCCTAGATTTGTCCCCACTGGTAAATCTAGAGCCTCTAGATTTGTCTCCCCTGGTAAATCTAGAGCCCTTAGATTTATCTCCCCTGGTAAATCTAGAGCCCCTAGATTTGTCCCCCCTGGTAAATCTAGAGCCCCTAGATTTGTCTCCCCTGGTAAATCTAGAGTCCCTAGATTTGTCTCCCCTGGTAAATCTAGAGCCTCTAGATTTGTCTCCCCTGGTAAATCTAGTGCCCCTAGGTTTTTCTCCCCTGGTAAATCTAGAGCCCCTAGATTTGTCTCCCCTGGTAAATCTAGAGTCCCTAGATTTGTCTCCGCTGGTAAATGTCCTGCTGTTGTCCTGGATGTGTTCACTTTGAACTGTTTCATTTGCTGGTGTTGTGTTGGTTATCTTATGAGTGTCCTGTCAATGACAAGCTGCTTCTGCATGTGCCAGTAGCCTTCATCTGATGGAGACTCTAGCTGTAACCTTGAGAAGAAGTGGAAGTGTCCTGTCCCCCCCTCCCCGTCCCCCAAATAGACATTTTTTTTGGTGAAATACATTCCACACTCAGTTGACATGACCCTCATTGAATGAAGCTTTCTGATTGGTCATTTTGTGTGCTGTGTGAATCACTTTGAGCTGAGTGAATTCAACTGGTCAGATTTGTATTTATTTAGATTGGTTAATGATGTCAAGGTTGTGCTAGCAATACAACTCCAGAACTGTGTTCAACTTTTGCTTCCTTGTTTAAATATTTGAGCCAATCAGCAACTTGCTTTAACATTTTAAATTGGGTTTTTTTTTTTAGGAAAGGTTTTTAGAATGGAGCTGTAAGTTTTCTTACAAAACAAATTTTTTTGCACTAATAGAAGACTAGACCTACCAGCTAACAAATAGAAGACTAGACCTACCAGCTAACAAAGACTAGACCTACCAGCTAACAAATAGAAGACGAGACCTACCAGCTAACAAATAGAAGACTAGACCTACCCGCTAACAAAGACTAGACCTACCAGCTAACAAATAGAAGACTAGACCTACGAGCTAACAAATAGAAGACTAGACCTACCATCTAACAAATAGAAGACTAGACCTACCAGCTAACAAAGACTAGACCTACCAGCTAACAAATAGAAGACTAGACCTACCAGCTAACAAAGACAAGACCTACCAGCTAACAAAGACTAGACCTACCAGCTAACAAAGACTAGACCTACCAGCTAACAAATAGAAGACGAGACCTACCAGCTAACAAATAGAAGACTAGACCTACCAGCTAACAAAGACTAGACCTACCAGCTAACAAAGATGAGACCTACCAGCTAACAAATAGAAGACTAGACCTACCCGCTAACAAAGACTAGACCTACCAGCTAACAAATAGAAGACTAGACCTACCAGCTAACAAAGACTAGACCTACCAGCTAACAAATAGAAGACTAGACCTACCAGCTAACAAAGACTAGACCTACCAGCTAACAAAGACTAGACCTACCAGCTAACAAATAGAAGACTAGACCTACCAGCTAACAAATAGAAGACTAGACCTACGAGCTAACAAATAGAAGACTAGACCTACCAGCTAACAAATAGAAGACTAGACCTACCAGCTAACAAATAGAAGATGAGACCTACCAGCTAACAAAGACTAGACCTACCAGCTAACAAAGATGAGACCTACCAGCTAACAAATAGAAGACTAGACCTACCAGCTAACAAAGACTAGACCTACCAGCTAACAAAGACTAGACCTACCAGCTAACAAATAGAAGACTAGACCTACCAGCTAACAAAGACTAGACCTACCAGCTAACAAATAGAAGACTAGACCTACCAGCTAACAAATAGAAGATGAGACCTACCAGCTAACAAAGACTAGACCTACCAGCTAACAAAGACTAGACCTACCAGCTAACAAAGACTAGACCTACCAGCTAACAAAGACTAGACCTACCAGCTAACAAATAGAAGACTAGACCTACCAGCTAACAAATAGAAGACTAGACCTACCAGCTAACAAATAGAAGACTAGACCTACCAGCTAACAAATAGAAGATGAGACCTACCAGCTAACAAAGACTAGACCTACCAGCTAACAAAGACTAGACCTACCAGCTAACAAATAGAAGACTAGACCTACCAGCTAACAAATAGAAGATGAGACCTACCAGCTAACAAAGACTAGACCTACCAGCTAACAAAGACTAGACCTACCAGTTAACAAAGACTAGACCTACCAGCTAACAAAAAACAGACTATGAACAACTTAAAAACAAAACCCAAATTCTACCAAGTAATCAAATGACTACTCACATAACTAAGGATATCATGACTAAGGATATGGCTGGACTGTAGGCAAAAGTGACCTTGAAGTTTTGTGGGACTCTTAAAGTTTTCCTCAAGGCTCTTGATGTTTTTTTTCTACTGCTAATAGTGCTAATTGGGAGGGTTAACAATGGCTCTAGGGACCAAAAAATTCTAAAACTACAGCCACATTTTTTTATGTGATCAAACAAAACAAAAATGCCATGAAGGTTAAGTACGACTTCCAGGCTTCCATTGATCTTTCCTTTGAGGTCATCAACAGGTCTGCTATCCTGTTTTAGTCCTAGCTGGCACATAGTGCCTAGTCTGACCAGATATGCCAGGTAGGATTTCTTGCAATAACTTGAGCTCATTAGAATCCTGGCAATATTATTCTCCTGTATTAAAATGAAACAAATCAAAAACATTTGTTTTACTTTTTTCTACTGTTTTTGTTCTTTTTACTTTTACTAACCAGATTTTTATTTATACTTCACTTTTCTTGGACCATATTTATTTGGGTTCATTTTAACTTTTTTAATCAACAAATATATTTATCTGGTAATTGTGATTTTGTTTTTGTTGTAGAATGAAACCTGTTGGTTGAAAATGTTGATGCTTTCAAAACTTATCCTTTTTTTTTTTGGCTTTTTCCACTAGTCTGATCTACATCAATCAAAGGTGCTATTTAACATTGGTAAAAAATAAATAAGGCTGTTTTTGAAACACTTTTGGCCCGTAAGCAAACTACGCTGTTTATTAAAAAGTTTGGTCCACAAAATAATTGCCCCACATTTGTAGCCACTGGTAGCCTGACCTTGTCTGATATCATGACATATAAAAACATGTTACATTGTCTAAAATTGTGTATTTATTTCAGATAGTTTCATTGTAAGAAGACATTATGCATTTCTGAACTAAGAAACTTGATTTCATGGCTATCCTATGGTTCAGCTAAATATTATGGCTAATTGTTTTTTTAAGATAATTACCCACATCCCCACAAATTATAAGCACATCACATAGCATTAATATCATTACCACCCACTAAGACCACACACCATCAACAAAAGACACCAACCTACGATCATCTAGTGACACCATCATCAAAAGACAACCAACACAACCTATCAATACCCCATGACCACACACCATCCACCCACCATCATCTAATGACACCAC